AAAATCCTGAAGAAGGTGAGGAGGGGGATGTATGGGTACCTGGAAGAAAAGTTTTCCAGACAGAGGCAACTGTCAGTGTAACTGTCCCCCAGTTACTCACTGAATGAGTGTGGAGATGCCATCCCCGGGTGCAAAAGCCACTGTGATCAGAGAGGAGGTTGTAAGGGAGAGAGTGGGGGTGGGATGGGATTAGAGAGGCGATGTGGCCAGATTATGCAGGCTTTGTGGACTGCTGGGGACAGGAGTTGTCTTCTCTGAGTGAGGTAGGTAGGCACTGTGGGAAGGTTTGAGCAGAGGAGGGACAGGATCTGCCTTGCTTCTAAGTATCCCTCCCCCTGACTGTGTGCAGAGAATGGACTATGTGCTGAGGGGTGTGGGTGTGGGGATAGGGAACCAGGAGACTTGACCAGTGGCCCAGAGAACAGGTGGCTGGATGAGGGTGGTGGCGGCAGAGGTGAGTGCATTTTATTGGAATTGCCTGATCACATCATTTCCCCTTTTTCTATTGGACTGTTGTCTTTTGTAGTGAGTTGCTGAGTCCTTTCTAGATTATTCTGGATATGTTGCGTCATCTCTTTGGCATTCTGGCCTGATGTTATAAAATAGGCTGCTTCTCTGCTGGGACCTGGCATTGTGACATTTTGCTGAGAAGACCCAGGAAGTCAGAGGTCTGTCTCTTCGTGGTGGCCCTTTGTACCCCAGTTTCTATCCTTGCCCAACCACAGTGCCTACCCTCCATCCTGCCTCCCCAGTAAGGCACTTGACACCTCGCCCACAGATACTTCAGCACTCCAACCTACACCAGCAACCTTGAAGCTCTTTCCTGTATGGTGAGCAACAATAACCCCAGGAAGTTCGAGGAACAAAGCCCCTTACCTGCAGGTTGTGTGTGTGGGGGGCTTTTCCTGGCAAAGCTTTGTTCTGATATCTGTTCTATCAAAGGGCCTTCCCAGATCTCCCTTCTTGGGAGTCCTGCCTGCCTTCTGCTTTCTGCCAGTCTGGGTGTGGTTTTAGCTCCACCTTAACTTAGCTGTGTGACCAAGGGCAGGTTGCTGAACCTCTCGTCTGTGTCTCCATTTGCAAAATGGGGGTGGTAGTTGCCACCCATGTTTGCTACAAAGATTAGATGGAATAATTTATGAGAAAATGCCTGAGGACACTTTGCATATATACTAGGTAGATAGTCATGTTTGGTAAATGTTAGCTGCTCTAATATGGTAATGATTTTTCAGTTCCTGTACTTATTTGTGTTACTTGTTGGAGAAGTGATGTAAGCTCTGTGCCTCAGTTTCCTTCTCTGTCAAATAGTGCCTCAGGTATGGGTTGTTGTGAAGATTAAATGAAATAATGTCTATAAAAGTTACAGTAAGTATTAAATGTTTTTATTGCCCCAAAATCTATTTTGTCCAATATTAATAAAACTATATTGGGTGTCTTGATTAGTACTTTCATGATCTGTCTTGTTTCATCCTGTTATCGTCAACTATTCTCTATCTTTAGATGTTAGGTGCTTCTGTAAATAGCATAAAATTAAAAAATTAAAATCTCATCTGACAATCTCTGTCTTCTAACAGAAGAATTAACTCACTTGCAGTTATTGTGTTTATTGTTAATTTGAACTGATTTCTACCATCTTTTAAGTTTTTTTTTTTGGTGTTCCTTTTTATCCTTTTCCTTTATTTTGGATAATTTTAAATTTTTATTAATTTTTTGCCTTTTTTCCCCCACTCCTTTCTTTTGCTTCCACTGCCACCACCACCACTGTCATCATCTCTCATAATTTTACCCTCTTCTGTGAAGAAATGTCCCTGTAGAGCCTGGAATTGGGAGTGCTTTTAGTATGAGGTGTCATGCTAGGGCCTCCATTGGAAGTGAAGCCATTGAAAGTTGGAGCCCCCTCATGGGAGTAGACACCCACCAATCCAAGGTCTCAAACATGGGTGCCTGAAGGGCAGGTGCAAGAAGTGAGTGCACTGGCTATAACTCACTGGGGTGGGGTGGGGTTCTGGCACACTGTGCAGCTCGTAACCCATCTCTGGAATGGCCACATTCAGCCAGGTGGACCTGCAGGCTCAGGGTGGCCAATGCTTCTGCTTTGATGAGAGGCTGGCAATCGCACTTGATCTGTGGGTCCAGCGTGTGTCCTCCACAGAGCTAGAACAGCTAGGCTCAGAGAGTGGAGGCGGCTTGCTTAAGCTCAAATAGTTTGACCTAATCTAGGTCAAATGTGAGCTCTCTCACCACATTTGTCTTCTTACCTCTCAGAGTGGCAGGAAGGCATTTTTAAGACCTGTGAGTATTATTTCTTTTCTACCATTAATCCCTAATCTGTGGGATACATTTTTCCCAGACCTGCAGCAGGGGTGGAAATTGTTAAAAACTGAAAATAGATTTGCATGAAATGTGCATGTAGTTTGAATGCCTGAAGGTTTTCTTGCCATGCTGACCATCTTTTCAGTTCTGGGTTTTCTTGGACTACCAGATGTTTCTTGCTTCTTGTTTTCTTCTTCCTTAACTGACCCTAAGGCTTGTCAGTACCTCTTCATTTGCATCCTGCTGTCACCCTAGATGTGTCACTGAGGGACCCCAGCACTGCAAGTCCAGGAAAGCGCTTGCCAGAGAGACCACAGCTGGGCCTCTGGAGCTTAGATGTGGTGCCCTGGGCAGAGGTCTGTGGGCAGAACCAACAGCTGGGTGCAGGATCAGCCCCTTCCGGAGCTGGCTGAAGTGGCCTCAGAGAGTGGGTGTGTGCCATCTGATCCAACCACCATTGCTGACACCCTGCCTCTGTCGGGGGCGACCTTTGTTCCTCGTGGAGAGCACAGTGTGGCTTTCCACCTCTCAGTCCCCACCAGCCTCAAGTCACAGTGGGTTGCTACTTTTGCCATTTCTTCCAGTGACAAAGCCAGCTTGGTTTTACACTCTGGCTTTATGGGTCCGTCTTCAGGCGGCATCCAGAAGCTCAAATGATGCCATTGGACTCGGACACTTCCTGCCTCCTGGCCTGCTTGTCTCTGTGTTGGCTTTATTCTCAGGAGCCTCCCTTCTCAGGGGGCTTTGTAGGGTGTTCAGGCCTGTGTCTGACTAGTGGTCCAGGGACGAGAGACCGTGTCTTTCCCAGTGACCATCTCACTGACAGTCTCCGGCCCAAGCTCGTGGGGCAGCTCGGGGCACGTACGCTCCTTGAGCCGGTGGCTGTGGGGGGAGCAGGGCAGGAAGGTGCAGGCTTCGTGCTGACATGGCACCGGGAGCTGGGTGGGAGCCGGCCCCTCTAGCACTTGGACCCTAGGAAGGGCAGTGAGGATGGCAGGTGTCTGCCGTGCCACCTTCCTCACTCCCCTCATTGCTCCTTCTCCTCTTCCTCCAAGGATGAGCAGAGAAGCAGCGCTTGGCTTCAGCCATATTACTTTGTTGCCTGGTTTGGCCTGGAGTTTGGGGCCCACGTCCCAGACTGCCCCCTCATCATCTCTCTGTGAGCAGGGACCACACCCTGGGGGCTGCTGGCTGCCGGGAGTGGGGCTATATCGTGATTGGAGCCGGAAAGGAGGTGAGGCATCTCGGAAACACCGGGGACCCCAGCTCTGCTCTTGGCATCCTCTCTTCTAGGAAGTTCTCACCACAGGCCCACCTGCCAAGCCACACGGGGCCCAGACTCGTGGGGCGGGACGTTGGGGAAAGGTCACCCAGCCTGGTTCTGGAGGGGCTTCTGCTGTCCATGTGGAGGGGGCTCTGGACAAACCCTCCCTTTGCTGCTTCTGGTTGTCTAAGGACGCGATCCCCAGGACTGGCCACTGCTCAGGCACTCTTCCCACAACCTACTTTCGGGGCGTGTATGTGTGTATTCACCATCTACTGTTTCTGCAGGAACCTGTAGCTGTGGGTGAGCATCCACCAAGCCCCGAGTTCTAGCTCCGTGATCTTGGACACAGGCTTCACCTCCCTGAGCCTTAGTTTCCTCATGTATAGTGTGAAGGTCATTGCACCTCCCTCATTGGGGGGAACTTGTGGATTAAATGACTTAGTGTATATAAGTTGAGGGCAGGGCGGGGCATGAAGTTGGTTCTCAAATGCAGCTACTATGACTTCTACTTTTGTGATGACTGTTACTACATAGAAATAATAATAAAAATGAGATGTTGTTATTATTATGGAACTACTGATGGTCTGAACATTGTGCCCTCACTGTGCACCAAGAAGCTCACATCCATCATTCCCTTTGGTCCTCCAAACAATGTTAAGCGGTGACTGTGAGTCCCATCTCATAGATGGGCACACTTGACCTCAGAGAGGTGAGGCCGCCTACACAAGGTCACACAGTTGGGAAGTGGTGAGGATGGGGCTCCAACCATGCCTTTCTCTTCGTGTGGCTGCTTTTGACCACAACGCCTTCACACGCTGATACACTATTCAAGTTAGGATAAAGCATGAGTAGTCCTGAATCTAGTGATGGAGAACTCACCACCTTAATAAGGCAGCCCCATGGACGTTCATACAGCGGTCCCTTTACGGATGTGGGGGTTTTCTGCACCGTAGTCTACCACTTGTGAATATGACTCTGTTCTCATTTGAGCCAGTATGTTCAGGGTTGCATTGGGCAGGAGCTTCCTCACCTTCCTCTTGTTGCATGTGAGACCTCTGTTAATATGGCTCAAGCTCCATTAACTCTGAAGATACCCACATTTTTATGCTCATTTTGGACTGATGAGTACATTTTCGGGATTCCAAGCCCTTGTAGTCTCTGGGACTGTGAAGTAGAAGGGACTTCTTCAAATATAAGGGATGGAAAAACCAGTTCAAACAGGCTTATTAAAAAAAGGTACATGTTTATGGGTGCACACAATTGAAAAGTACATGGATAAGTTTCAGGTTTGTCTAGATCCAGGTGTCACCAAGGAATTGTGTGCAGCAGAGCTGGGATTTGGCTCTCCATGGTGACCTACATGCCATGTTCGTCCCTGCTGAGTGGATGGCTCTCATTCCTGTCCCCACTTCTCCCCTAGGAGCTGGCCAAGAGGACCCCCGGCAAGCACCCAGACCACCCTGCGATCCAGAGCGCGCTGCAGGCCATGAAGACCGTGTGCTCCAACATCAATGAGACCAAGAGGCAGATGGAGAAGCTGGAGGCGCTGGAGCAGCTGCAGTCGCATATTGAAGGCTGGGAGGTGTGTCTGCGGCCGGAGGGCCTTCTGGGTTGGAGGCAGGCCCAGGAGGGGCACAACAGCAGACACGAACTGTGGCCTGGGCGCCAGATTTGGCCTGCAGCATATTCTGTTTGCCTGTGTGGTGTTTTGGTTTTGAAGAAATTGTTTAATTATTTTCCAATTAAGTCCATACAAAAATCTAGTTTTTGAGTTTCTCATGAAAAATCAGTAACACCACACTCCCATATTCCAGGGCAACAACCTCTGAAGCCTCTAGTTTTCCTCAGTCCCTACCATTCCCCATTGCTCCCCAATTATTCTCCCTCACCTGTTGCCTTATCTACCTGGTATTCCTTGGTCTTTGAACTTTCGATATCAAGGGCAGGGCAGAATTCTGGCTTTCACACTCCCTTGCTTGGTGACTTTAGGCAAATGTCTTAACTTCTCTGAACTTCAGTTTCCTCATCTATACTTGGCATGTTGTAGGTACTCAATAAATGGGAGGTACTGTTACTTACCATCACCGTGATTACTAGGGGATGGAATTCATAAGTTCTTCTGGGTGTATAATTTATTTGTTCACATCCCCACATCTTCCTTAGATTATTAGAGATTTCCTACAAAGCTATAGAAAGAGATGGGAAATTCTGAATAAATTAAAAAAAATCCATATTAGAGTCAATACAGCTGGAAAAGAGGTTGAGATCAAAGATGAAAGACTCGTGGATACAGATTGTTCTCTGAATCATCTGCCTTTGACCCTTTGGATTTTCTGGCACTTGCTTTGTTTGGGATTTTTTACTTCTTTACCTATCTTGGGGAATCCTAAATGTGCCTGGATTGCTATGAGGTTGAGGATTTGGCACAGTGGAGAGGGTCTGTTTAGGGAGGTGGGGGTTGTGGATTAGTGTTTACCACTCTTTTGATGGACCTTCCTGGCCAAGGCTGGAGAACAAAGAGCTGCATTTCTTAGACCCTTTTGTAGCTCAGATTTGTGATATGATTGGCCAAGATCAGATCCAGCTGCTGGAAATTTAGAAGACTTGGATGACATGGAGCCACCCTTTGTGCTGTTTTTTTGTTTTTTGTTGTTTTTTTTTTTTTTTAAAGCGCTCACGATTTTTTTTCTTCTTCTTCTTCTTCTTTTTTTTTTGAGATTTATTTATTTGTGCATACAAGAACTTCGGTCCAGGCCAGAGGTATGGGGGGGGGTGAAAGGATTCACCAGAGACAGAGTGGGGAACAGAACAGGTGGATCGACAGAAATACACTGCTGAGGGGAGTAGGGGGCAAGCCAGGAGAGGTCTGCTGCGCCATGTGGGTAGCTCCCTGGCTGAGGATCGAACTAGCGCTACAGTGGCTGCAGATAGCTTCATAGTACTGCATTTAACCCCTTGTGCCACCAGGAAGGCCAACTTTTGTGTTTTTTTTGCAGCAAAGCACAAAAACAGCTTTCGGTGGCAACATGAGCAGAGCACTCAGGTGCTAGCTTCTCGGATGTCAAGAGGCAGGGCATGGGGTGTCCATCTTGGTGGTGGTGGTATATATCTTGCAGGCACAGGATGGCTTTGTAGCTGACAGTTGAGGCAGCAGCTCCTGAGAACCAGCATGCAGCCTGGATAGTGTTTTCCTGCAGTGCCAGCATGAATGGCTGCTGTTCTGAATCTCCCAGCTGTGACAGAGGCAGTGACTCCCCCGGAGGGCCAGTTCTGAGGTGTTCCTGATTTGTTGGGAGCCCTGGCCTGGTTTCCTGGGAACCCTGTCCTGGACTCCTGGCTTTTCTGGCCCTTCTAAGGGTTGAGTAAACCCCTCATTTGCTTTTGCTTAAAATGCATGGTTTTGTTTCTGTTTCCTCCAGCTAAGCAGTGCCTGACTCTCAGGTGTGTCTGTTGGGACGCATTCTCTGAGGGCTTTTTTTTTCAGCCCCATGATGCCAGAGCTCCAATTTGCTCTTGGCCTTACCCTCAGGGTTCCATGATGGCAACTCATGTCCTACAAAGGAGGGGGAAATAGGCGCATGGCTGGGGTAATGAGTGGGACCTTCCCCCCAGTGTAGGGAAACTTTTCCTGGAAGCCCCAGAGAGTCACCCTTTCGTCTTATTGGCCAGAGGTGGGGCATATGGCCACGTTCAACAAATGTATGAACCTAAAGAACAAGTAGTGTTGATGCATTTAAGCATCTTTTTGGACTTTGAGCTTCCTGGTAGCCAAAGTGAAAAAGGCATAGGTTACTTAACATTCCATGTCAAAAAAGGGAAGAAATGAAGCAGTTCTTTTAAGGGATGGAGAGTTTCCTGGCAACCAGCTGGAGAAGAATTTTTTCACATGGGCCTCTGTGGAGAGGGTATTGAGCAAACAATTTGGCAGCTAGAGTAGAAGTGATTTCCAGATGTTTTCTTCTGATAAGGACCTAGGGAAGAAGGAATTAAGGGTCTTTAGATAATGTTTTGACCCTGAAAAATCTACTGTTTGAGAATTGCCCTAATTTTGGTAACTGTCTAGGTGCAGCAGGAAAAAAAGTGACTCAGAATAAGAATTGCTGGCAGTGAGTGAGTACCTCTCATGTGCTTCCCTCACTAGAGGGGAGGTACTATTGTTAGCCCTACTTTAAAGGTGGGGAAACTGAGGCACAAAGCCTTGGTTTTGAGACCCAACCCTATAATTTGCAGCCTGCCCCACCAGACGCAAGTCTGTCCTGCTTTCTTGGCCTCATTTCCCCCTAGTTGTCTAATTTTACCAAGACTAGCTCTAGTATCTCCTAGTGCCATTTTGAGGCTATGAACATTCTTTGGAAAATATGAAATGGTTTTCCATGCAGACGTTTAATCTTCAAGGCGATGTGGAAAGTCACATGTTCTAACTAGAAGAGATAATTTTAACAGCAGAGCGACTTGCAATGGCCTCATGTATCAGTAGTCACGACCTCAGGGATGGGGTGACTTAGGGTGTCACTGTAGCCCATGGTGCACGATGTGGTTGCAAATCCTCATTTCCGATACACTCTTCTGATCATTTCTGATCTTCTGTGTGACCTCTTGCTGGGCTGATAAGAGGATTGTCAGCTCCCTCTTGGAATTCTACAGGCTTGGGACTTGTGTTTGGTAGAGAGTCTTGGCCGCTTTCTTGCTGTGTGCTTGGGTTTGCATCATTTCATTGACCTCCAGTCTGATCCATGGTTTTGTGGGGTCTGATCCTTTGTAAGCCACTTGCCCTGTACAGTGGAGAAACTGGTTTGGTTAAAGCCAGATAAGTTAATACATAAATCCAGTTTACGGAGCACAAGGAAACAGCAGTGTGTGGCAACGCTGCTGGAGGGGTGAAGAAGTGAGCTCTGCCTATGTGAAGGGGTCCGGAGCCTCAGTTTCCTTACCTGACGGTAGTCCTCTCCTCATGAGTCACATAGGATTTGGGATGCAGAGGCAGACGGGCACCCAGATCATTCTTCAGGGGCTCAGAACGCGCTGAAACATCAGGAGGGGCTGGGCAGCCTAGCCGAATTGCTCCCTTGCATTTTTTAGATCAAACGCAGCTTTGGCTAGGGCGCACCCCAGGGACACTGCAGGGGACACTTCAACTCCTGCAGGGGACACTTCAACTGCGAGCCCCACGACCTTTGACATGAAGCTCAGCATCATAAAAGGAAATGTGTACTTCTCCTGAGCGAGGACCAGGGTGCCCTCCTGCTGCAGCCTCTGGAGGCTGTGGCTTAAGACACCGTCAGCTGGATCCTCACACCCCCACACCCTTGCATCTCTGCCTGCACCCCAGCTCTTGTATGCATAAATAAATCTTAAAAAAAAAAGGACACTGCTCACTCACCCTCAAGGGGTCAGAAGGAGACAGGAGCGAGTGAACAAAATTGCTGTTAAAAAAGACCATAACTGAAAGTTCTCATATGCAATTCCCACCCCCCTGGGATGTCTTGTGCTCCCTGGGGTTGTGGTCTTAGCAGACCCCTGCTCTAGCCCAACAACTGCATAAAACCTTTTGGCTATTTTAAGAGGCTGCCCTGGGCTAGTAGAGGTCAGCGGGGAGGAGATGGGGCCTGCCTGTCTGGGTTCAAATCCCATACTCGCTGCCTCGTGGGGACACTCACTAACCGTGTGACTTTGAACAAGTCCCTTTACTGCTCTGTGCCTCAGTTTGCTCATCTGTAAGATGAGAGATGTAGGAGGAACTGATTTTTACAATTGGCGTGTGCAGAGGTAAGCCCTGTGCACATGTTAGCTTTTCTCATCTTCTCTCGATGTTGCGTATTTGCTTTGATGCCATGTGTGCTGTCTGCAGGGGGACTCCAGCCCAGGCTGGTGGATACCTCGGTGCTTAACTCTTCCCGGGGAATCTGATCCTCAGCACTGCGTCTGACCTTGGCTTCAAGGACTCCTAGGGGACTGTGGCCTGCTGGGCTTCTCAGTAAGGCTGGGCAGGAAAGGCATTGTCTACAGCATCCTTGGCCTCTCACATGTAGTCTGCTGGGGTGGGGAACGAAGACCCTGAGGCGGCCTTCCAGGCTGGGTACCCTTCTCCTCCGAGGTCCCCTGACCATGCCTGAGGGGCCAGGTGACCCCATGACCTAGGCCTGCATGACCTCAGGACTCCAGACCCTGCAGCCTGGCCTGGTGCCAGATTCCTATAGCTGCAGCTAAAATCCCCCTTTGGAGGCTGGAAGGGCTGGTGGGTGGGCGAGAGTCGGTGAGGGGAGGAGAGGGGGGTGCTGTGCTTTGGAGGAACTGCTATCTCACTGAGCTGGTGCCTCTTCGCCTGGGGAGTCACACTTGTCCTATGTGTGCTAGCACTGGGGCCTGATGGGTTCTTGGTCATGGAAGCCTGGTCTAGTGCAGCAGACTCACTGCCTCGTGGGGTCACTCTGCCGTGGGAACCGGGTATCTGCGAGTCTGCTGTGGTTTCTGTTAATGGGCGCACCCTCCTAGCCTCACTGCAAGCTCCTGACCCCCATGAAGAAGCAGGTAGCCCGGGACCCCTGGCAGGCCCCCAGAGGACCCTGGCACTGGTGGGTGGATGGGCTTGCCACACCCTGGGGGCGGGGGGGGGGTGGTGGTGGGCCTGGAGTCAGCCAGCTCTCCCAGCAGCTCTGGGGCTGCTGTGGGCAGTTAGCACAGCCTGACTTCTGAGTTGCAAAACCAGTTTCCCATATTGCATTTTGGGGGGGGGGGGGGGGAATAGCTGAATCAGCAAATCTCACTGGGAAGGGAATTCTGTGAACAGTTCTCCCTCTCGCCTCCCAAGTTCATTTTCAGGCGGAAATAGCATCGGGTCTGTGTTTCCCCCTTCACTGAAATTTGCAGGTCTGTCAAATGAATTTCCCCTAAAATACTACTTTTGTATGATACTCTCAGGCTCAAATGACAGAGCCCCACCCCAGCTACTGATGGAGCCTGTCTCTTCATCCTGATGTGTTTGAGTACATGGTAGGCTGCTGGAAGGAGAGACGGGCTTGCATGAGGTGAAAGCATATTTCCCAGCAGCGGGGCAGGCTGGGCTGGGCGGCTCTGCTCCATTCAGACCTAGGTCCTGCCCACCTCCTCGCTCCACTGTCTGCTAGTGTGTCCCAGCCTTCCAGATGTGGTGGGAGGGACGGGAGCCACGGAAATGATGTGGAAGTGGGTGCACCGGCCATAATTTAGTCACATGACAGTACCTGTACTTAAACCAATCCATGCGTTTAAGGGATGTGCAAGGGATACTGAGAAATGGAGTCTGGTTGGGCAGCCATGCACCCCCTGACATTCCTTGAGACAGAAGAGGAGCATGGATTCAGGGCATGGCCTGGGGCTGCCTTAGCTAACATTCCATGTCCCCAACATCTCTTTCCAGCTTTTCTTTTAGCACATTAGGATGTCTCTGCCCTGGCCTTGGTCCTGAGCCCTCATCTCCCCAGCCCCCTCCCCTGCCCCAGAATTCCAGACCGTTCCATGTTGTTCCTGGCTCTGAGGACTCCTCCCAGCAGGGGCCTTCACTCACCCCCACCCTCAGCCTCTTTATCTTCACCGTCCTCCTGATACCCTTCCTGGCCACACGGCTCTGACCCTCATGGAGCCACAGCGAGCTCCAGGCACACAGCTTTTTAGGCACTCCCTGTCCCTTAGCTACCCCGCGCCTTGACCAAGTAGAATGCTCTCAAAATCCCGCCCTTGGCAATGTTCACATTGTGTTCCTCACCTGTTCTATAAGTGTTTATTGAGCACCTACTATGTGCCAGAGTGTGGTGGGTGTGGAATACAGTGGCAGATTTTGACAGATGCTTGACAGTGACATTCTTGGTGGGGGGTGGGCTGGACAGAATAACAAATCAAGACAGAAATAAATAAGGGAGAAACGTTAGGCAAGAACAAAACCCAACCCCCAAAACCAAAACCCCCCACCAAACCCAAAACAAGAACCAAATCAAACCAAACCAGATACTGATCAGGCTGGGGGAGCTGGGGAAGTCCTCTGACCAAACTGAGCCCCAGTCCCAAGCTTGCGAAGTTGTCATCCTTTATGGTCTTCCCAGCGTTGCCCTGACCCGCTCAGCAGAGAGGTGCTGATGACCAGACTGTATTGATTTCCTGTCTGCTGACAGATTTGCGTCCAGCTGTGCATTTAGATGTGGAGTTGTGAGGGAGGCAGGGGTAGGTTCTGCTTCTGGGAAGGGAGGTGGTACCTCCAGAACTTGCCTGGATTTGCCAGCACATTCACTGTCCCTGCTCTGTCCTCCCAGGGCTCCAACCTCACAGACATCTGCACCCAGCTCCTCCTGCAAGGAACTCTGTTGAAAATCTCTGCAGGCAACATCCAGGAGAGGGCCTTCTTCCTCTTCGACAACCTCCTTGTCTACTGCAAGCGGAAATCCAGGTGAGTGGCTGGGTGTGGGAGAGGGCTGGAGTGGGGAGGCTGGGATGGGGCTGCCCAGCTGGACCAGGGGGTGCAACCCTGACAGTTCCTTGAAGTGACACGTTGGTCTTATCACTGCCCTCTCTGGGCCTCCTTTTCTCTTCCGAGTTGAGGGGTTTTTCTCGATTGGCGCTGTGCAATGGAAATACAATGCAAGCCACACATGATATTTAAAATTTTTGTGGCTACTTTGAAATAAGCAAAAAGAAACCTGACAGATGCATTCAAATAGTATATTATCTTGTCCCAGTATAGCCCTTGAAGATTGTCGTTTCAACTGAGGTGAATTAAAAATGTATTGAAGAGATATTTTGCCCTCTTTTTTTTACACCAACTCTTTGAGGTCTGCTGTGTATCTTACACTTCTAGCACATGTCAATTGGACTCAACATGTTGTAAGCCTCAGTAGCCACCTGTGGCTTGTGGCTGCCTTATTAGACAGAGCAGGGTAGATGGCCTTTGAGGACACCTGGGTTTTGGTGAGGCTAGCATCCTGTCTGTCTAAGGTCCAAAGGTAGAGAGTTTGAGGAATGGAGGCTTGTCTATTGTTAAGCTTTTGGAGAGAGCGGTAATATCTCCATCATCTTTGTATCTTTTTCTGGAGCTTCTTGCACTCTGTGGTCTGGATTGAATGGTTGGGTGAGTGAGGGGTCGAGGATGCAGGTGTCTGCATGGCTGGGAGTGTGCATGATGGGGTGTGTGGATAAATGGGGAGAGGCTGGAAGGATCGTGGAGGTTTAGGATCCTGAATGGAAGGTGGGAGCATGGGGGGAGCAGTTGTGGATGGGAGTGTGGATTTGTGGGTGGAGGAATGAGTGGCCGAAGGGCTGGAGGTTTCGGAGATGGCTAGGCAGAGAGTTGGGGGATGGTGTGGATGTTTGGATAGTTGGAGAAATGGATGTGCAGCTACAGTGAACTGGCCGAGATTTGTTTAGGTAAATGATGAGTTGGGGCCTGACCGTAAGGTTTGTTGAGTGAAGGGCACATGGAAGGTTGCTTGGATGGTCAGGTAATTGGAAGGCTGGAGGTTTGGTGATAAATGGAGCGATGGATAGGCATTAATTGGATAGGTGTATTGATACTGAGTGGATGCTTGGTTGATACTTGCTGGTTGGACTCTGGCATGGAAGGTTGATAATGAGATGATTGCATGGCTAGGTGGGTGGCTGGTGGCTGGGTGCTTAGAGGAGGGAAAGTTAGGAGCGTGGGGGCAGGTGGTTGTAGGAGTGGGGGCACAGTGGACCCCCATTGGATGGGTGGGCAGGTAGGTACTGGTGCACTGGGAAATGCCTGTTTTTTGGTTTTCTTGCTCTGAAAGTAGAGGATGTCTCAACTTACCAACACGACCCATTTTGAATTCTCCTTCCTGTTACTTTGTCTTAGGAATGAAATAGTGACTTTCCAAAGACTTCTTTACTCCTTTGTCTAGCAAAACCTAGGGCCGAAGTGGGGCCCAGACCCTGGGCCCTGCTGTCATCATTATCTCCACTTTCCTGTGCTCTGGGCAGGCCACATGTCCCTAAGCCCATTCCCCATGTCTGTTTCGGCTGATCTTTTAAGACTGTGGTGAGGAGCCTGGCCACGGGTGAAGGATGGGGTGTCGGGTGTGAGTATGGGCTTCTCACTTCCTCCTCTAGCAGGCCTCTTCTGTGAAGTAGGGACGTTCACTGTTCCTGTGGTCGTGCTCGGTTCAGAGCCAAGCCCTTCCAGTCAAGTCCCGGGCAGCCTCTCCTCCCGCTCTCGTGATTTACTTGCCTCCTCTGCGTCGGTTTCCTCACCTGCAGACTAGGGTGAATCACCAGAAGGTGCCTCACAGAGCCATTGTGAAGACCGAGTGTGAGCAGTGTGCCTGTCACAGAGTCACTACACAGGTTAAGGGTCCCTGCTATTGTGAACTAACCTCCACGTGTGCTGGGTTCCGCTTCATTGCTATCCTGTGGGTGCAGCCAGCACATAGTAGGTGCTTCAACCATAGCCCTCTCCTCCCTGCCTTTTCCCTCCTGTTCTGGGGCTTGATCCTTCTGAAAGGCTTCGGTCTCCCTCCTTAACCATCTACTTTGTTCGGCGTGTCACTTTCTTATTTGATATTTTATACCTGCCCACTCCATTAGGTCTGTCTTGTGTCCTCCTGTCCCCCCACTGCTGACCCCTTTTCCATCCCCCTTGCTTCCTGAGAGTCCACCCTTTGGCGGTGCCCAACCCACTGCCAACATCCACCCCTGCCCTTCCTGCCTCCTGCCCCGGGCTGTCTGAAGCAGGCACTTTTCCCAGAACACTGGGGCTTAGAAAACAGAATGTCCCTTCAGGCTTCTGTGACCTGCTCCCATCTCTGGGCAAAGTTGCTCAATCTTTGGCTACCCAGGCATGGCTCTTCCTTCTGGGGCATGGGCGCACCTGTTGGAGCCATAACAGTGGACTCTGACCACCCAGGATCCAAGTGGGCTTAGCAGGGCCTGCCTGGGGCTGCCACAGCTCCTTTCAGACCATCCCCTGACTTGGTTCTGCATGTGAGCCTGGCTGGCTGGAGGAAGAGGACACATCTGTCTCCTGAGTGAACCGAGTGGGAGGCTGGCATTCCTGTCCTTGCCTTGGGAGCCAGAGGGATTGGGCAGTGGTGGATTGGTCCCCTGTAGGAAATGCCTGACGCAGCAGGACGTGGGGCAGGGCAGGTTCTTGGAGTGCTGCTGGTCTCATCCCCAAGTCGAGGCTCCATGGAGTCAGAAGTGGAGGGCAGAGTTTAAACAACTCACCTCCCTTTCCTTAGAAGGGGAAACTGAGAGCTAAGACTCCTCTATCTCAACCGCTCACTCAGCATCTTAGAGGCGCACAGCTCGGGCAGTTAAGGACACAAGGCTGTGTCCTTTACCTGCCGTGTGACCTTGGGCAGGGTCCTTGGGCAAGTATTACAGCTTCTTGTACCCCTATTTCCCGTCTGTTAAACAGGGTAGATGTCATGGGGTCGTTTTTCTAGATTAAGATAGGACGTGTAGAGTGGGTAGAATAATGTCCGGCCCATAATACATAAAGTAGAAGAAACGATTCTGAATCTCTGCTGGGGTGTTTTAGATCTTAATCAGGTCTGAAACAAGACTCCCCTTTCATCCCAGCTCCCTCTGCAAGCCTTTTCCTCCTCCCGCCTTCCTCATTCCCAACCAGTGGCACCACCATCGAATCCACCCAGGCCAGATCTGAATTGTCTTTGGTCTGATCTCCCTCATCCTACACCCCTTCAGCAGCAGGTTCTTTTGTCATCAGACTTAGGCCAGAAGCACAAAGCAATTCCAAAGCAAATTCCAGGAGGGAGGTTGTATGTGCGTGTATGTAAATGATTGTAAGATTTACATGCAAACACTAAGAGACAAAAATAACCAAGACAATTTTGATGAAGGACAAAGCCAAAGGACTCCTACAACTGATACCAAGGCTTATTATAAAGCTTACGTGGGATCAGGGTGAAAGCAGACAAGTAGATGATCAGAATAGAACAGGCAGTCCAGAAGTAGACCCACATGTAAGCCGGTTGTTGGTCATTTGATTTTCAGCCAGTGCGCTTCAGTCAGTGGCACTGGGTCAGTCTGAAAGGCAGTGGGGAAAAAGTTGAGTCTTGGCCCTTAGCTCACACGGTACACAAAAGTCAACTTCAGATAAATTGTGGACAGAAATGTACATGGTGAAACAATAAAGCTTCTAAGACATAAAGATAGGAGATTGTATGAGCTGGGGGATAAGCCAAAATTTCTTAGTAGGCAAAAAGTAAAATAATGAAGGAGGAGGAGATATACCAGACTACATTAAGAGCTGTTCATCAGGGCCTCCCCGGCGGCACAGGCGGTTGAGTGCAGTGATATGAAGCTGTCCGCAGGCTCTGCAGCATGGGTTCAATCCCTGCTAGCCGGCAAGAATCCCACATGGTGCGGCAGACCTCTCCTTTCTCGCCCGCTGCTCTCCTCAGCAGTGTGTTTCATCAGTCTGCCTGTTCTGTTCCCCGCTCTGTCTCTGGTGACTCCTCTCATCCTACCGTGCATCTGGCCTGTACCCTGGTTCTTGTATGCATGAATAAATAAATCTTAAAAAAAAAAAAAAAGAGCTGTTCATCAAAAGACACCATGAGTAGAGTGAAAAGACAAGCCACCAACTAGGAGATTTTTGAGATAATTGGGAAGGGTGTCACATCCAGAGTATATAAAAAAGTCCTCTAAGCTACGTTGGGCCCTCTGCCTATTTTTATAAATAAAGTTTTATCAGCACACAGATGTGCTCATTCATCTATATTGTCTGTGGCTGCTTTCCTGCCACCAGGACAGAGTTGAGTAATTGGAACTGAGACCATATGGCCCTCAAAACCAAAAATATTTACTATTTGTCCCTTTCCAGAAAAAGTTGCCAACTCCTACTATAAGTCATTAAGAAAAAGACAGACAACCCAGTAGAAATGTGGTCAAAGGAAGGTCATTTCACAAAAGAAGACCCCAGATGGCCAATAAACATGAAATGAAATGTTTAATGAGTCACCACCATTTGCCCACCAGAATGGCCCAAATGGAAATTAAATGCCAGTGGCAGAGGATGTGGAGCGAATGGAATGTGCCGACACTGCTGGGGAAGTTGGTACAAGTGTTTTGGAAAACTGCTCGGCAGTCTCCAGGAAAGCCGACCGCCTGTTTCCCTTATGACTCAGCAGTTCTTCTCCCAGGTAGATAACCCAAGGACAGGTGCACACATTCTAAATAAGGCACAGTCCCAGCGGCACCAAGCTGGAAGCAGCCCAAATGCCCAGCAGCCTCAGTCTAGTGATTCCATTTATGTGACGTTCAGTAACAGGCAAAGCAAATCCACAGGCTTAGACTTCAAGGTGGCGTACCCTTGTGGGGGCTGGTGACCAGAAGGGAGTGTGCTGGGGGGCTCTGGAGTGCTAAAATGTTTATACAGGTGTTCACTTTGTCAAAGCGAATTGAGCTGTGTACTTCATTGGGCATGTTGTTTGATACAGATTTTATTTTTTTTATTTTTTATTTTTAAAGATTTATTTATTTTATTTATACAAGCACTGGGTAGTCAGAAGCGCGGGAGGGTGAGAGAATTCACCAGAGCCAGAGCGGGGAGCAGAACAGGCAGAAGGACCGAAGTACACTGCTGAGGGGAGCAGCGGGCGGCAGGAGAGGTCTGCGCGCCATGTGGGACCCTTGCCGGTGGCCGGAGATTGAACTGGCGCTGCAGAGGCTGCGGGCAGCTTTGCAACCCAGCGTTCAGCTGCTGCACCACCAGGGGAGGCCCGATACAGATTTTATACTTGAACACAAAGTTTATGACAGTGCGTGTATACAGGTGTGTAAGATACATGCACACAAACCATTGCCCCCTCCTGAGCCTCCTTGGCTCTCCCTGCTGTCCACTGTCCCCACCTATAGGCTGTTCTCCACAGGCAGCCAGTGGTAGTTTTTAAAACACATCCAGGCCTCCCTGGCTCTCATCACACACACTAGAAACCTGTCTCCTCTGTGGTCCCCAGAACCCTGCAGGACCCTGTGGCCATGCTGGCCCCTCCTGCCACATCCTCCCTAGTGTTGGTCCAGCCGCACGGCGTCGGGACAGCCAGGGCGCCCTCCTGCCCTTGCAGTGGGTGTCCCCAGTAACCCCCTAGTTTCCTCCCTCACCTTGCATAGTTTTGCCCGTTCTCCTCAGTAAGGTCTTCTGTGATCCCTCCCCCCTTTCCTGCCCCAGTTAAAATCACAAGCCCCCATCCACCTTTCACTTTATTATTCTCTTTTACAAACCTTCCGTGTTTTATGTGCACCGAAAACATGCATGTCGCATTCATTAAACATTCTTTTCACATGGAGCTGAGGCCTCTTCTTCGAGGATGTGTTCACTCAACACAAAAGCAACTCACTTTTATTGTCTTTCCAAAACATTCAACTGGATTTGTGGAGCGACAACTCGAATCCCACACTCATGTCAGTCAGCTTAGATAATATTTAATTACAGTACCAGGTGCACATCAGGCAAGTGGGTCTGGGAACAAACACAGCTGGCTGCTGGGAGCCGCACCCACCTGGAGGAGCAGAAGCCTGCACAGGTCACGAGATGGCTTCTGGGCTCTGAGAATCCTGCCCTCATGCCCTGAACTCCCAGAAGATGTGTTCTCAGTCTCTGTCTTGTTCACTGCAGTAGCTGTAGCACCCAGTGGTGCCTGGCACCAAACAGGTGCCCTCACGGTTCTTGCTGAATGCATGGGGGAGAGACACCCCTGGGTCCCAAGTAGCCTTTGCATAGGAAGCTCCACTGAGGTGTTTGTTGAGTGACTGAGTGAATGATAGGATTCTGGGTGAGTGAAGGAGTGACAAGTAGAAGGGGGGCTAGATGGATGGACAGATGGATGTATGGACAGAGGGACAGATGGACTGCCTACTCTAAGCTCAGTTCTTTTTTCAGAAAGTACCTGCTTGTTACACTTTTTGGGTTTCTACCCATTTTCTAAGGAGAATGGGTTTCTTTTGCTTCCTGTTGGGCTCTCACCAACATCTCCTGTTGGCCGACATTATCTCCATTAGGCCAGCAAGGCTCTACCCATTTTCCAGATGAGTGGAGAAGTGACTCCCGCAGGTCACCCAGCCACCAACCTAAAGCCCTTGAAAGCAAGGCATGGGGGCCACGGACTTCCCACTGTCTTTCAGAGTCACTGGGGGCAAGAAGTCCAGCAAGAGGACGAAATCCATCAATGGCTCCCTCTACATCTTCAGGGGTCGGATCAACACTGAGGTCATGGAGGTGGAGAATGTGGAAGACGGGACAGGTAAGCCCCCGCCCCAGGCCCTCCCTGAGCCCCCTGCTCCACACACTGTCCCTGTTTTGGTTCATCTCCTTTTACTGTGAAGCGTCACCTACCTACAGTGAAGGGCCTGGAACATAGAGCATTAGGTGAACAGCTGGGTAGTCATCATTCAAGTTAACAAGTAAAACTCTGCCCGCACCCCAGAAGCTCCACGTGCCTCTCCCTGCTCACAGCACCTCCCCCCACCCCCAGATGTAACCATTCTCAGAATTGTCTGATGATCATTTTCTTGCTTTTTAAAAATATATTCCCTCCTAAGTATGTGTCAAACATTTTAATTATGATTTTTCTGCTTTTGAACCTTAAATGGTTATAGGATGTGCTCCATTTAGAGGGTCATATGATATTTTCTTCTGCAGCCCTGCATTGGAGAGATCCATTTTCTCTCATAGCTCTTAGTAGCTCGCTGATTCCAGGGCTGTCTGTATTCCCTTGCATGAACAGTTCCCTCTTTCCCTGCCTTTGGTGATGGACCTTTGGGTGGTTTCTCTGCTCCCTAGGAAGCCCAGCGGTGCTATGAGTGTCCCCGGCATCTGTGCCCTCAGCTTGTTTAGACTAGGGGCTCTTGATTGATTTTGGTCACAGACCCTTTGAAGTCTCATGAAGCCTGTGGGTCAGCCTCAGATTACGGGTGTGGCTGGTGTCAAATTCCCTGGATAATGCCAGCCAGTTTCAAAGAGGTTTGCCAACCTGAATCGCAGCCAGCAGTGCCCAGGGCCCATGACTTGGCATGGTTGGGATTGTGCTAAGGCTTTTATTTTTATTTTTTTATTTTATACAAGAACTGGCATACAGGCCAGATGTGTGTGGCAGGGAGGTGGGGGAGGAGACAGAGACAGAGCGGGGAACAGAACAGGCAGATTGACTGAAACACACTGCTGAGGGGAGCAGCGGGCGAGACAGGAGAGGTCTGCTGCTCCATGTGGGTTGCTCCGCGGCCAGAGGGGATCGAACCGGCACTGCAGAGGCTGCGGACAGCTTCACATTGCTGCACTCAACCACCTGTGCCACCAGGAAGGCCCTGTGCTAAGGCTTTAAGTAGCCCAAAAGCCCGGATGAGACAGATGAGGAGGCTGGGAAGCTGGTGTCCCCCTGGAGTCACTCATGCTTTGGTGCCTTGTTGGGATTGGTGGGTCTTTCTTGGCCAGACTTCCTCGCCCACCAGAAAATGGGTAGGAGAAAGGGAGTAAGCATTTGAAAGCTTGTAGGTTCAACTCTTGCCCCCCAGTCCCATGGGTGCCGAGGGCTCGTCTGTCTTCCTGGAGCAGGAGGGTCTGGTCCTGTGACCTCACCTGCAGGTGTGTATTGGGGAATGTACTGAATGGTGGGGCCGAGTCGGTGCTGACCCATCTTTGCCTCCCTCCCCTGCCAGCGGATTACCACAGCAATGGCTACACGGTCACCAACGGCTGGAAGATCCACAACACGGCCAAGAACAAGTGGTTCGTGTGCATGGCCAAGACGGCGGAGGAGAAGCAGAAGTGGCTGGACGCCATCATCCGCGAGCGGGAGCAGCGCGAGAGTGAGTGCGCCTCCTCTTGCCCGGGAGAGTGGGCTGCGGGCAGCCTCCCCGGCTGGCCACTGCTGCAGAGCGAGAACAGTGGCTTGGGAGGGGACTTTGGGTCCTCCTAGAAAGGCCAGAGCTACAAGAAGCAGGTCTTTGAAGGGGCGGGGAGCTCGGATCTGTGCTATGACCTGGGGGTTTCTTGGCTCACCCGAGGTCTTCTGGTTCAGCACACTCGGCAGTTAGTTAACCGAGGCCCAGTGGGAGGGACTCGCCTGAGATCGTGTGATTTTTGGATGTGGATTCTTGGCCCCTCACCCTTGTGGGTTGGTAGCCGGGATGCTCCCTTCATGCCTGTCCCTTTGTGGTTCTGGGGATCTTTCTGTTTGAGATTCTCTGAGTCTGCACTTGGGAGCAGGGTCCTTGGGGGCTCCCGTGAGAGTGGTCATGACTCTGGCTTCGCCCAAGCTCCTTGGCAGCCACTGGCACAACGAAGAGTATATGTGAGAAGTGGGGTGCGGTTGGGGGCGGGTAATGACCTTGTGCAAACCACCAGGTTGGGGAGAGGGATCTTGGCATCCTTGGGGGCAACTAATATCAGCTTCCCTGACCTCAGTTGTGTTGTCTAATAAGTGGGGCTAAAAGCCTCTGCTGCAGAGGCGGCCATGCTGTGGGCTGAGGCCGGTATCCAGCCACGCGGGAAAATTGGATACATCCTCCCACTTCCTGACCCCCAGGTTATAGGGACTCCCCAACCTGTGTCCTAGCCACTGGGAGTCCCCATGTGGGTGTCATGCCATCACCCACTTGCCGTGTGTCATCAGCACTCTGAGTTTCTGCCCCAAACCTGTTCCTCCCCTCTCCTCATTTCAGTAAATGCTTCCTCCTTCTCCTGGGAGCTGAGTCTAAATGTTGGGGTCACTGCTAATTTTCTCCCTCTCCCCAAACTCACCTGCCACATTGATGACCCACCCATCAATGTCTCTTCTCTCCTGGCTCCCACCAGGGAACGAGCTGTCAGCTCTCAGGAAATACAGGCCCAGAAGAGTGAGATCAAGTGATTAAGTCCCTTTATTTTTTTTAAAGTGCACATCTGGATTTTAAAAGGATGCCTCAAAATGCTTTAAAATTCTACTAGGCCAAATAAATGCCTGCATCTGCCCCAACTTGGGAAGTGTGTAATCTCTCAAACTGATTAGGGTGGGGGTAGGGTTCAGGGAGTGGTCTGGCCTGGGATTGGTGACGAGTATCTCTGTGGTCAAAAGCTGTGGTGGTGCTGGACAGTGGGGTGTGGCTCAACGGCCTGAGTCCTTAGAATCAGGGTATTGTCCAAACCCTGACCCCTGGAAGGGTGTAAGGATGCCTGCTGTGGTCAGGGTCAGGTCCTGGACCAGACCTCCTGGGTCCAAATCCTGCCTCCAGTGCTTCTAGCACTTACCTTCTCTGACCTGTTTCTTCATCTGTCAAATGGGATAACGATTCTTGCCTTGAGCATTAAGTGGCAGGTGGGAGGTGCTGTAGGAGCATTTGCTGTTATTATTTGTCTTCCTAGTGTTTTCATAATTGCCCAGGGTCCAAGCTGGGGCCGGGATCTGCGTGCAGTGCTAGAGAAGGGGGCGAATCCACCTCGGCTGCACAGCACAGCTCAGCAGGCTTTCTGATAGCCTCTGGGTTTGGAGACCTTCCTCAGGGTGAAGGCTCCACTGCCTTTTACTCTGGTCTTCACTTCTCTGGGTGCCCCCAGTTTGCCATCTGTACACTGGGGGAGACATGCCACTCTTCCCTACAAGGTTCTGTCAGGAGTTGCCGGCAGTACCTACAGCTTTAAGTGTTGTGCCCTGTAGATAGATGCCCGCCTGTGGAGGGCAGCTGGGGGCAGGCTTTCAGGCTGCAGGCCTGTCCCTGCTGCTCCCCCACCCCAGGGTGCTGCTGCCCTTCCCAGTGCTAACTGTGCCCCTCTGTAGGCCTGAAGCTGGGCATGGAGAGGGACGCCTACGTCATGATTTCGGAGAAGGGGGAGAAGCTTTACCACATGATGATGAACAAGAAGGTGAACCTGATCAAGGACCGCCGGAGGAAGCTGAGCACCGTCCCCAAGTGCTTCTTTGGCAAGTGAGTGGCCCCACCTTGGCCTCCACTGGGCCCCTGAGTCTCTGCTGGAGGCCGAGGAGGAGGAGGCACCCCTGCCCAGACCTCCCTGTGCCCTAGGAGCCCCCCTGGGCAGAGTTGCTGAGGCACCCTGAATCCTGTGGACTGGTCCTCAGAGGTCAAGGATGGTGGGGTTCCCGTTTGAGGTCCTTCAAATGGTTTTGACCACACCTCACTAAACAGAGGCTTTCCGCTATGACCTGGCTCATACATCACATCATCGAGGCCTGAAGCCAGAGGCTCAGGAAGCTTCCTGGCTCGGTGCGCTCAGCAGTGTACCTCTGTGCCTCTGTTCCTGTTTCTGTGCTCACCTGCCCAGCCTCGCCTCGCGTCTTCATTCATTTCAAAAACAGTGCAGTGCGAGCCCCTCTGATTCCACTAACTCCTCCTGGGCTCCCCGACATGGACTGAGAGACACTGCTCTAGCCAACCCTCAAGGGAAGAGCAGCGACTGAGGTATTTCGGGCAGAGACATGTTTCACGCAGGGAGTCAGTGACAAAGGTGTTGAAGGCCTGGAAGCTCCAACGTGGGCCAGCGGTCGTAGAGCAGGTTTGCAAGAAAAGACTCTGCTGCTTGAGCAGAAGTTCCTGTGCCATTTATTGAAAGCAGACAGGCTAGTAAAAGCTGGTCATGTGACAGTGGCATGATGAACAAAGTCCAGAGGGTGGGTTTGGAGTAGGGGACAAAGTTTTACAAGGAACAGAGAAGGGGACATTGTGACCATACATCAAGAGACATTTGTGTCAGCAAAGCATTTGATGTTATCACAGGCAGAGTTATCCCGAGACCACCGTGGAGATAGTCACATAATCAGGTCAACCGCGGCCTAGGCGTCCCCAGACCTGCCTCGTGATAACGGCTACACTCCCAGGTGGTCAAGGAATGCGCTGCTGTGATTTGCAGATAGCAAAGATCACAGTTGCCCATGAGTGGCCAGCTAGTAGCCAGCTCATAGGAACCCACGGGACTCCAGTTCTTCTGTTTGGAAAAGACGTTCTTTCTCCTGCTCCCCATTTTTCAACCAAGGAGCAAAGTAGCCAGAGGCTGGGTGCTGCAGTTGCATCTTTGACCCAGATTTAAAGCTCTTTACCTGGGGTGGGGGTTGGGGTGGGCTGGGTGTAGGGGAGGCAAGAGGAACAGTCCTTGTAAAATCGTTAAGCTGCTTCTAGTCCCTGCTGTGTGCAAGACACGGGGGTGGCCTCTCCAGAGAGGGTGGACAAAGGCCAAGGGCTCCTGCCCTCCCCAAACTTGTGGTGCAGCTGGGGAGAGAAGCTGGCCTGTAAGGCCGGGACTTGACTTGGAATTTGCCTTGTACCTTCCTTCCCAAAAGAAGATGCTTCAGTGAAGTCTACTGCGTTCTTCTGTTGCCATAGATCAAGGGAGTGCTGGTGTGGCTTGGGGTGGCCCCACTGGAGATGGGGGAGCACTGCGTTCTCATCGGGTGGGAAGTGGCAGCATTTGCCCATGGGGTGAGAAAAAAGGGAGTTAAGGAGTGTGAGCCCTGAAGGCTGGAGTGGTGGCTGGCTTGGAAGGAGAGGGACAGGGGAGGCCTCTGGGGTGGGGTCCAGGGTCTCCATGCGGACAGGTAACATTGAGATGATCAGGCCCCGGAATGGGCATGTGGACTTGTCTGTTGCACATACAGTCTTGACGTGGGGAGCTCAGTGTAGGATGTGGCAGTGTTGATTTGGTCTTGGATGCCACAAGACTGAGTGGAGTCTGCAAGGGGATGTGTGGAGAGACGAGGCTGGGGCTGGGCCCTGAGCCTGCAGCACTTGGAGGAGAAATCATGGTATCTGAGAGCAGCAGGCAGGAAGGTGGGAAGCCCTCGGTCGGTGTGGAAACTAGGTGAAGAAAGACCTGAGACAGCCAGGGAGCAGTTACCTGGGTCTGGATGCTGTAAAGTTGAGATACCAGGTAGACATTTGAGTATTAACACTGGACAGGCTTTGGGGAGCGATGGTAGAGCAGGGGAGAGCTGAGGGATTGTGGCCTGAGGTTTGAGGTTGGAGGGGCTGCAGGCAGAACATTTGGGGGTGGCTAGGATGCTTCAGACTTGGGCTCTTAGCCTCGGGGGTCAGCAACCTTAGTTCCAAACTACATGGGAGGGTTTGTGGAGGGGGATGTGTGGACCCCTGACCCCTGGACTTGCAGGCTATGTGGAGGGGCAGCTGGCTGATCTCCCTGAGCTAACCCTTAATCCCTGGGCAGAAAGGAGGTTTTTTCTCTCGGGAGGACCCTGTTTCCGGCCCTGCCCCAGCAACCCCCCCATCCCCACCCCTCAGCTACTGTAGAGAACCTTCTTGTCTCCTGCCAGCCCCCTTGGAGAGCTTAGTCCAGCCGGATGGGATAACCTGTCTGTGATTAGAGCGTCAGCGGAGTTTTCTGTCTCCTCAGGAAGGATTAGGGGAGATTTCTTTTACTGCCCATTGAAACAGGGCCAGAATTGAGGCTTGTTTTGAAATCACAGGGCCTTAAGGAGCAGACTTCCTGCTTCTAATAAATAATCTAATAAGTTCTAGTAAAACTCTTCTCCCTGCACGACTTTGCTCTGCGCTCTGCCCAGGGCTCTCGATTCCCCTCTGACCCACCAGGCCCAACTCTGAGCCTTCTCCAGCCACGCCCTGGCCCCTCAGGTGGAAGCATTGGTGGCCACAGAGATACTTACTGGCCTTTCTTTACCCTGGGCACTGGCTGGAGGCCCGCACAACACCGTGAGGTAGACTTGTCCCATTTAAGGGTGAGGGACAAGGCCCTGCTCAAGTTCACACGGCCCCCATGGGGGGCTGGGATGTGAACCCAGGCCTCCCACCACGCTCTGCTGCATTTACCCGTTTTTATCTCTAGTCAGCATATTTCAGTTTTCTTTAGTAGTAACTTTCTTCTTATCTCTACTCCACGGGGAACTCCATGGGTGCAAGTGTCTGATTTATCTTTATAGCCCCAGGGCCTGCGCTTGGAGTCATACATACTTGGACTCCAGTGCTGGCTCCCCCACATTCTCGCTGTGGGACTTTGGGCAAGTTTCTTAACCTCTCTGAGCCTGAGTAAACAGTCCATTAATGTGCTAATAAGACGAGCCTCGTGGGGTTGTCGAAGGACACGGTGAGACTACACTGCACGCGACACAGTAAGAATGCACTGCACGCGACGTGCTCCGCGCGAGCTGCCAAGAGCGGGCTGCTTCTTCCCTGCTTAGAGTCGGGTCTGTCTGGTCACTGAAACACAAGGGCGAATGCCGTTTGTGTAGGATTGGGAAGGCTCTCGGGGGAGCAAGGCGTTTGCCCTCTGGGATCCTCAGGTTAGTTGGGGAGCCGCAGCCTGCTCACCCATCCACTCATGCTCTGTTAACGGAGCCCTTGCCCTTTGCCAGCGTGAATGGGACAGACGGACTCCTGCCCTCACGGGGGTTCCCGCAGAGTCAAAGTAGACAAGGAGACAAATAGAAATAAAGAGGGAATTTCAGCGAGTTGGTGACTGCCGTAAGGAAATAAGTAGGTTGGTGTAAGGGAGTGAAGAAGCGAGGTGCTAGTGCCGTCAGGCAGTCAGGAAGGGGCTCTCAAGGAGGCGTCACTTTTTTTTTAAATTTTTTTCTTACATCGTCGGTCATCTTTGTACAGTTAATGTTCCCCTTTGGTGTGGCCCTCCCACCATTATTCCACCCACGAACCGCCACCCACCCCCGTGTCTTCTTCCCCCGCTGCGGTCAGTCCACGCCTTCCTCACTGCACATGCTAGATCGAGGGTCTTGTTCTGTTCCTGGAACCTTGTCCCTTCCTGGGTGAGGACCTGCGCTCTGGACCGCAGCAGGCCGGGCCGTCAGACCCCAGGAGCAACCGCTAGGCAGGTAGCCAGGCCGAGCCTGGCAGGTGCCTCTTGAGGGCAGGCATGGGGAGTATCTCCGGACTCCTTGATTTTGGGACTTCCTGTGGTGTAGGAGACCGTCCTGTTTTCTACAGACCAGTGCGGTCTCTGGGTTCTGTGCGTCCTGATTCACACTGGTTGTCCCATCCATAGGGAGGTGTCATTTAACCGAGACCTGGATGACAAGGCAGCCAGCCGCGAGAGGCTCTGGGAAGTGACAGTCCTGGCTGATGCAGGTGCAACAGCCCTGAGCCGAACCAGCCTGAGGAAGTAGTTGAGAACAGTGAGGAGGCCAGTGTGGCTGGTGGGAGGGGTGGGAGTCGAGGCCTCGGGCTTGGCAGGGGTCAGGTCAGGCCCAGGCTCTGATTTCATTCTAGGTGCTGTGGGGAGACCCTGGGAGAGCACAGGCAGGAGAGTGGGATAAAGACGTTCTATTGCACAGGCCTGAAGGGGGCGCTGTCAGGGCTCAGGGGCAAGGTGTGACAGCATCTGGCAGGGGCAGCCAGGGAAGGTTTCCTGGAAGCAGAAGGCCTTTGGTTTCACCGTGGACAGGGCTAGATGTCGTTGGCTGCCTGCGTGTACAGGTGCAGCTGTTAGATGACCAGGAATGACATGTCAGCCACGGCCATGGCCATCGTCAGGAAGCACCTTCGGCAGTGCCGGTACTGGGAGGAATGTCACACCTCCAAGTCCTGCCCTCATGTAGCTCAAGGCAAGCTCAGGCAGGAGAAGGGGACTGTACTGGGTGGTGGGTAGAAGGATGGGGACTCTCTAAGGTAGGCTGTGTAGACACGCCCATGTGTCCTGCCGGACCTGGGCTTGACACTGGGAGGCTTGACACTGGGAAGCTAGACACGTGCTTGCTGGGTAAATGATTCTGGGGTGCGGGAAGGAAGGAGGACTGAAAGCTGACATGTGCCGATTCTCAGCCCGGACCCTGAGTCTCAGACTCACAGCAGAGTGAACTGACACCCCCTCCCCCAACACCCACCCTCCCACCCCACATCCCCCATTCTCCAGCTCAGCCTGCACTGGTCCCTGCATGGGCCTTGCTTCCTGCCACGGGCAGGTCACTGGTTTCCTGACCCTGCTTCTCTCCTCGGCCCTTGTATATGCTGAAACCCTGTTGAGAACACCCTTCCCTGTACCTCGTGGTGGCAGATGGCTCCCCACTGACCTGGTGTAGTTCACAGATGTGTTTGCAGTGGGTCACGTGGTGCTTTCAGAAAATTTTGGACTCGACACCAGCTTTTAGCTGTTGGGAGATTTCACAGGAAATGCCGGATTTCCGACTTCTCTCGTGTAGTCTTCCCGTGCAGCCACGGCCCCGCCTCAGGGGTGCGGGCTGGCGCGGCAGTCTCCACCTGGCCCTCTCCCCCCTTACTGGGTCCTCGTTTTAGAGATGATTTTTATCTGCTTTTGCATGCTGGATCCCGGCTTAAGACTTCACGTGATCAGAGTGTGAGCCTGCTAAACCCAGAAGGCCCGGGGTGAACCTCTTGCCAGTAGCCCCCAGAGAGGAGCAGCCACTTGTCCAAGTTTATCTGGCTCATTGGCAGCCCTGCTTGGTCCTCTGAAAGGGGCCAGACTCAGCTCAGGGGTCAAAACAGGGGTCACAGTTGTTGTCCTCTGGGCTGACTTCTTCTACTCTAACAGCTGCTGTGGGGACACTTCCTGTCCCCCCGCCCTGGCCATGAGGCTGCTGGCCAGAGGCAGCCCCCGGTGGGACAGCTGGTGGGCAGCTGGATGTCGAGTGTCCAGCGTCTGAGAGTGGGCACTCAACATCTGTTTGCCTCTCTCAGTGGCCGGCAACCTTCTCCCTGAGTTTTGGGGCTTTGAGAGTGGAGGTGGGGGTGAGTAAGACCCAGAACAATCTCTTCCCCACCTGGGGTCCCACTCCACACAATCCTCCATTCCTCCTGTGCCCCGTGGCACTGTTGGGGCTCCTTGAATGCTGCAGCACACATCACATCACGACCTACACACAAGGCAGGTCTTTGCTCCGACAAACACTGCACAGCTAAAAATAGCTCTGCCCCCTCTGGCCCTGTAATTGGAGGCGGGACAGCTGGTTTCGATAAGCGGGGAGCTGTGTCCTGGCCAGCTGCCACCTGCTTTCATTGAACACAGATTGCCTCGGAAGGAGCCCCATTCCCGGCTCTCCCTTTTCCTGCTGACTTCGAGGGGGCTGAGCTCTGCATGGAGCCGAGCCTGTTGTCGAGAGCTGGGGCCTGGGGCCTCTGCTGGGTAGTCATGTTGGCTTCGCCTGACTTCCGTTGGCCTCTGAGCACTGCTTCTCCTGAGACCTTGCTGCTGTCCCCAGAACATTCCTCCATTTGATCAGTAAATGATGATGGAACCTCCTGTGCTTAAACTCCTCTCCCAGGGGTTGTGGGGAGAGCTGAGAAGAAAGACAAAATTTCCCTGTCAGCATGGAGATTACATTCTGGGTAGAGGAGGTGGCCAATAAATATATAAATAATATGTGTAACTTCAGACAGTGATAAGTGCTAAAAAGCAAGGGAACAACTTTTGACAAGATGATCAGGGAGGTACCATTTGAGCTGAGACTGAAGGATGAAAAGGGCTACGTGAAGAGCTGGGGATGGTTGTTTCCCGGCAGTGGGAACAGCACATGCAAGGGCCCTGAGGCAGGAGGGAGTCTGACACTTTTTAAAGGGAAAGATAGTGATGTGGCAAAACCATGATAGGATAAAGGCGATGAGGTCAGTGAAGATGGGGGAGGGGAGTTCAGGGAAGACACTGTCATCCCGCAGACAGAGTTCAGATTTTCCTTTGAGAGTAAGGGGAAGCCTGCTGGAGGGTTTTAAGTAGGGGCATTTCACGACTGGCTCTCTGCAATCTTCCTTAGCCCTGATTTCTTCCTGTCTGTTCATTCCTTCTGTTCATCCATCTACCTACCCACCCATGTACCTACCCATCTAACCACTCATCATTCATTTCCCCCACTCATCTATCCAGTCTCCTATCCACTGAACTATCTATCCACTCTTGCATGCTCACCTCCACCCACGTACCCCTTCATCTTTCCAGCCATCATGTCACCTGTCTGTCAAGATATCCGTTCATCCATTTACCTACTCTTTCCATTCACTTACCTGTCCATTCATGTGTCTATTTTCCATCCATTCACTATTCATCCATCCTCCATCCACCCATCCACCCACTCATCCATCTATCCATGCATCTGTCCACACACTCATCTACCACCATCCAGCTGTGTAGTGATCTGCCTAGTCATTCACCTTTAGCCTAGTAGTCATCCATCTATGTTTCTGCGTTCATCCGCCCCTTCCTCCCTTCTTCCCTATACCAATACACACCCACCCCTGTCCGTCCGTCCATCCATCCGTCCGTCTGTCCATCCATCTATCCATTCAAACATCCATCCATCCATCCATCCATCCATCCATCCATCCATCCATCCATCCATCCATCCATCCACCTATCCACCCATCCATCCACCCATCCACCTATCCACCCATCCACCTATCCACCCATCCACCCATCCATCTATCCATCCATCTATCTATCCACCCATCCACCCATCCATCCATCCATCCATCCATCCATCCATCCATCCATCCATCCATCCATCCATCCATCCATTCATCCATCCAGTGACCCTGAGGAAGGGCCTGGGTTCTGGTCACACACAACTCTCTGCCATTGGCTTCGGGGAAGCACAACTCCCAGGACAGTGGAAAGCTAATCTTTACTTCCCTGTGGGAGGGGCCTCAGTGGGGGCTAGACCAGCTTTGTGCTGCTCTCTGTGGTCCCAGTACCGGGTGGTCCTCCAACTGATGTTTTGTTCCTGGCAGTGAGTTTGTTGCCTGGCTTCTGGAAATTGGTGAAATCAGCAAGACTGAAGAAGGAGTCAACTTGGGCCAAGCGCTGCTGGAGAACGGTATTATCCACCATGGTAAGTGGGGCTGGGCTTGGGTGGGACAAGGGGTAGGACCAGGCCAGACCTGTTACAATAGGGCTGTAATTTGGAGGCTACTTCTGCATTTGGATGTAGCCACCCTGCATGGCCCTGGGCACATGGATGCTCTTATAAATCTGCTCTCAGGGCTGAAACCCAGCATTCACCTGGGTACCAGCCATGCAAGGACCCCTGGAGTAGTTGGGGCAGGGGACAAGAATTTTCTGTCTGTCCCTTCAGAAAAGGCCAGAACTTTTCTTAGACATTCAGCAAACATTTATTGGGTGCCTGTTACGTGCCAGGTGCTGCGTGCACAGCAGAGTTGTCCTCATGGAGTGACCTTCTAGGGGCAGGAGGACAATCAGTGTGGGAAGTGGCGATGACTACAAGGTGGGTGGAGGAGGCCAGGGGCTCATCTTTGAGGAAGGGCGGTGGGCAGCCCTCACTGAGATGATGGTGGAAAAGACCCAAGAGGGAGGGAGGGAGTCCAGGGGGAGGGGAGTCCAAGCAGAGGGAACCACCAATGCCAAGTCCCCAGGCAGGAGTCTGAGCAGTTTGTTCAGGGAGCAGCAAGGAGGCCAGTATGGCTGCTTCCGAGTGGACGGGGGAGAGAAAGGAGGTGATGTCAGGACCACAGGCCCAGGGGCATGTTTGTGGGTGGAGGCCCAAATCTGTATAGGGGTTTGTGGAGTGTTTGGCTTTTACTCTCAAGTGAGGTGGGAAGCCACTGCTGTGCTTTGAGTAGAGAAAACACACCGAGGCTCAGATTCTCACAGGAGCCCTCTGGCTGCTGGGCAGAGTGGCCTGTTGTGCCATGGAGGTGGCAGAGTGCCCAGCAGGGAGGAAGCCGAGGTGGCCCAAGGAAAAGATGAAGGTGGTACTGACCAGAGTAGGCTGTGGAGGCCGATTGTAAATGTTTTGAAGGAAGAGCTGTAGGGTTTGCTAGTAGGTACAAAATGAGAAGCACCAGAGAGGCCCAAGTGTTGTGTAGATGGTTCTAAAAGGCCCAACAGTGTGGGCTAAGGCCCTGGCATGCTCTGGCCCCACGTGTCCTTTGGTGAGCTAGCTCCAAGGAGTTGGTGGGCCACATGGCCCCCTTGCAGGCCTGAGACCTGGAGCTGCGCAGCCCCTTTGATGGGTCTCAGCAGGGCCTGCTTGTCACATGGGGAGACTGTGTTGCCTCATCGGAGTGTGTGTCGGGAGTCAGTGAAGCAGACCCTCTGCACAGGGCCTGGCCGAGTGGAACAATGATGGGGGGCTTGGGTAGGGAGGGACTGGGGGCATGCCAGGCCTTACCTGCCTGCTGGGTCCCTCCAGTCTCTGACAAGCACCAGTTCAAGAATGAGCAGGTGATGTATCGCTTCCGCTACGACGATGGCACCTACAAGGCCCGCAGTGAGCTGGAGGACATCATGTCCAAGGTAGGCCCCCCGGCCCCTGACCCTGACCTCGCGGTCATTAAAGACCAGATCTGGGGCCTCTACTGCCCCATGGTCCCCACCTTCCCCGACTCTGTCCTGGGAGCCCTCTCTACCAGCAGCCTGGATTTGGAGACCCCCTGAAGGATGTGGCCTGATCCCAGACTTACCCTTTTTTTCTTGCAGGGTGTGAGGCTATACTGCCGTCTTCACAGCCTCTACACCCCCATGATCAAGTAAGTTACTCTCTCCACGCTCCAGTTTCACCTCTGCCTCTTCTTAGCTATGTGGCCTTGGGCTGATAGCTTAACCTCTCTGAGCCTCAATTCCCTTCTCCATCAACTGGGGGCTAAAAATTGTGTCTACCCTGGAGGTTTGTCATAAGGTTAGGTGAATTAATTTGTGGGAAACATTGTTGTCTCCTGGTGCCTCAGTTTTTTCCTCTATGCCATAAGGATGATAGCAGAATCCACCTCATGGTCTTTGCACTTGCTGTTCCCTCTGCCTGGAATGCTCTTCCCCTATGTATTTGCTTATTTGTTCTCTCCCTTCCTTCAGATGTCTCCCAATCAGAGCGACCTCCCCTGACTGCCTTGCTACACACTAACCTCCTCCTTCACTTTTCTTGAAACTTGTCTGTAGTTGACATAGTGTATATTTATTTGTTTACCTATGTCTTCTTTCTTCCCCACTGAGTCGTTAAACTCACCAGGGGTGGGGAATTTGCTCACTGCTGTGTCTGCCGTGTCCCCACACCTAGAACAGCTCCTAGCACAGTGCCCGCCAGTGGACCTTTCAGCCCTGATAGAAATGCCCCGTAGCTGCACTGTCCAGTACAGTGGCCACTAGTCACACATGACTGTCGAGCCCTTGAAACTCAGGAATGGAATTTAAAATTTGATTGCATACTAATTGCTAGAAGAAACCACCAAATATTGGAGAGTGTGGGCTTCGGCCAAAGTAGCACTCTTAAAGGTGTGTTGATTGAATGTTGAAAGGTAATGAAGCTCCTTTATCTTTGTTTCTGCATCTGTGAAATGGCACAAATAGCTCACACTTGTGAGGTTTTCACGAGCATGACATGTGAGTGGAGCCTGGTGGCAGTGAGCGCTCTGGAAATGCAGCTGGTCAGAGGTTTTCTTTCCTGGGAAGCGAGGTTTGTTGTTTCGTTGTGGGTGGAGGGACGGTGAAGACTGACCCCATTCTTCCTCAGCTGGAGAGTCCTCTGCTGCACCCCCTCTCCTCTGTCAGCTCTTATCACCTCTCAGAGGAGTAGAGAGGAGGGGCCTCCTCTTCCTGGCATTTGCTGGCCCTGTTCCTTGGAGGTCGGGCTTGGGAACTATTTTCATCTCTAGACCAGCACCCTGCCCCCTCTCCCAGCGCCTCCCACTGCTCTTGTGTGAGTTGCAGAAAGCAGGCTGGAGTCGCTCAGTTCAGCCTCGGCCCATGCAGGAAATATCCCTCTGTCAACCCCAGAGAAGAGTGTCAGGGCAGGCAGTGGGCTTCCACAGGTGGCCTGCCTGCTCCCCAATTCTGGGCCGGATCAGCCACCGCACAGGCTGGCCACATGACCCTGGTTTTTAGGCTTCCCAGCCAAGGAGTGGCTGCAGGGTGGCCCCTGAGACTCAGCGGGAAGGTGGATGCTGCATAGGGCAGGACCCTCTGCTCAGCCTGACTCCCCACGCCACATGCTATGGTTTTTGTTCTCTATAAACACAAATGTCAAGAACAGGACAAAAGAAAAAGGGAAGAATCGAGATTTCTCCTCAGTACTCCTGTGACTCAGGTCTCCGCAGCCTTGGCGCTGTTGGCATTTGGGCGGGATAATTCACTGCTGCAGGATGCTTAGTGGCATCCTCAATCTCTACCTGCTAGATGCCGGTGGTGCTGCTCCCTCTGCCACCCCTAGCCTGGTCACGATTGTTAAAAATGTCTCCAGACACAGCCAAATGTTTTTTTGGGGGGGCTGCATGAGAACCCCCTGGGCTGGAGAGAAGAGTTTCTAGAGGTTGAGGGCCATCTCTCCGGCCCCCTCCCTCACACGGGAGGGTGGGGTTGGGCCAGACCTGCGAGCTCAGGCTGCAATGTGGAATCTGGGCTGGGATTCCTGCCCAGGGGTCTCCCCATCACCCACCTCCAGCCCTCAAGCACCCAGACGCCCTTGGGTCCTGAGAGTGCTGCAGGGACATGGGGACCATCCTCGCCTGCAAGTGCATGTTCTCAGCCATGCACCATGCTCCCTGTTCCCCGCAGAGACCGCGATTACCACCTGAAGACCTACAAGTCCGTGCTGCCTGCGAGCAAGCTGGTGGACTGGCTACTGGCTCAGGTGAGCACCCCTAACTGGCATCACATGCCTCTCGCTCGCCCAGGACTGAGCGGCTGGCCTGGGTCGTGCCTTTTAGTTCTGATTTTTGAAAAAATTTCTATTAGTTTTCAATTGCTGTAACAAATACTCAGAACATGACATTAACCTGCTTAGACCTATTTGTAAATGTACAGTTCGGGACACTGAATACACCCCCACATTAGTGTGCAACAATGACCACCATCTATCTTCAGGATTCTTCATCTTGCAAAAGTGGGACTGTGTCCCCATTAAGCCATAACTCCCCAGCCGCTGCCCCCCCCCTCCCACTTTCTGTCACTGTGAATTGATCATAGAAGTAGAATCACAGAGCATCTGTCCTGTGATGGCTTCATTCACTTAGTAAAGTTCCTTCCTTTTCAAGGCTAAATAGTATTCCATTGTCAGTATGTACCATGTTTTATTGATCCATCAAAGAAACACATGGGTTGCTCCACCGTAGGGCTTCCAGTTTTAAAACTGGGACAGTCTGGGGCAAACTCGGGATGCTAATATCGTCTTGACACCAAACTGGAGGCTGTATCCAGAGCTTGTGAAGTTACTTCTCTCCAATAAGATCCCAGTAGGCAGGCTCATGGTGGAGGCTTAGAAAATTATGTGTCAGTTTTGCTGGCCATTGTCTATCGAGGTGTCGTAGCATCTCCCACCTGCCTGAGGCTTTACCTGTATGGGTCCTGTGCCCAAGGCATTTACCGGGGCCAGGGCTGGCAGGGCTTGTGCAGGCTCTCCTTGAGTCCTCCAACCCCTTTAAAGAGTGGGAACTAGGGCCTAGAGAGGCTGGACGCCTGCTCCAGGAGTACACAGCCTCACAGCAGCCAAGCTGGACTCAGACAGGCCTGTCTTGCCCTCTTGAGCCTCAGTTCTGAAAACTCCAGGGAGCCTGCAAGAACGCTCATTTGTCGTCTTGCAAAGAATGTACTGGTTGCAAAGATGAGGAGACAACTGTGAATTCAAAATGGATAAATGTTTAAACATTTACAGAGTGTAGCTTTATGTCCGCCTCATTAATTGTTAAATTTAGCATTCATAAAAACCTCATTCCATTTGAAAACAATTTGCTGGCTGGATTTTCTCACGTTGCCAAATTCCCGATGACTGCCTGGAAATCACAGCCAGTTTGTAAAATAAATGATTCTTGGTGCCAAATAACATCAAAAGCAAGCTTAGAAAAATTCTTGAAAAAAAAGTTCTTCAAACCCAGAAAGCCTACTTACTGTGGGATACGGGTGCATTTTAATGTTTGCTCTGCTGTGGAACCCTAAGGCCTGGGAGGTCTTGAAACGACCCTGGATTTGAATTGAGATTTACATGCCTGGGAAGCCCTGTGCTTCTAACCACTGCACAACCCTGCCCCCTCCTTGGGATCCTTTTAGACTGGCCCAGAGCCATGTGCTTTATTTATAGTCAGGGAGACCTGGGTTGAATCCCAGCTCTGCTGCTTCCTAGCTGAGTGATGTAGGGCAAGCTGCTTAACCTCTCTGTGCCTCAGTTTCTACACCTGTAAAATGAAGCTAAAAAGAATATTTTCTCTTTTGAGGCTTCAGTGAGTTCATCACATCCGTGCTTAGAATGGGATCTGGCACAGAGCAATGTTCAGTGAACGTAACTTACTTTAACTCCTTCGCAAGGACTCAGCGAGGCTCAAAATTCTATGCAGTGGAAGGCTGACCAAATTGTGGAGGGATTTGGGGGTACAGGGACAGTCCTCTGGGGGTGTGGCGGGGAGGAGGGGTACAGTTGCTTCCAGGACCCACCTTCTGAGTGTGCTGCTGCAGCGTAGGGCAGCGGTGGGGGTGGGGGGCTTTCTTTCTGTGGTTTAGGTCCTTTGGTTGGAACCCAAACACGCCTGGATTCAGGGTGCTTCCAACACCTCAACCCTTCCCATGGCCTCCGTCCCCCGACTCCATCAGTACCTGTGGCTGTCTGTTGGCTTCCAAGCCTGATGCGGACTTTGCCCCAAGTGGCAAATCCCGGCATGACCTGGGCAGCAGAGCAGGTCATGGAGATGGTGAGAATTGGGGATCTGAGAAATGTTTGCAGATGGAACCCACAGGGTGCACTGCCCGGTGTTGGGTGAGAGTCCAGGATGGGTCCTGGGGTTTGGGCACAGTGAGAGATGGGGGAGCAGTCCCCAGAGGGAACATTGAGAGCTCTCCTGGGGTGAGGGAAGGTGCTGCCATTGGGGGGCCCTTGTGGGTGGGTGGAAGAGGGGGCAGCTTTGCACACCTGGGGCTCAGGTGGTGTCACGTTCCTCGTTGGCTTTGGGTGGCATTTCAGCGCTGGCAGGGAGGAAGGACCAGCTGAAGCACCCGCAGCACTGGCTTCTCTGGTGATTGGCGTTGGCCTTGGTGGAGGCTGGCTCGTCCCCGGTGTGGTTCTGAGTCCTTGTCAGTTGGTCCTGAGGACCCCAACCTGCCTGACACCAGCGTCCTGTTGCAAGTGGAGGCAGAGGGAGGACTTTGGAGGGAAGGTTGCAGCTGACCATGAATGTGCCTGTCCACTTCAGCAGACCTCCCGTGGCTCAGCCTGGCCAGGGCACACAAGGAAGCTAATCGGAGCTGACACAGGAGCGTGGCTTCTACGAGACCCACCGAAAGGCAGCTGGCAGCTGGCTCAGCTCAGGGAAAGGCATGTTGAGTTCTCTCTGTGGGGGGTGAAGTCTGGTTTCAGCAAGTCTTGATTTTAAGAGTTGTCCCCCTTTAAGCCTTAGCAGGAAAGTTAAGAGGAAAACACACATTTGCAGAATTAGGAGGGTGATTTCACTTTGAGCACATACCTGTCGGTCATGCTGCTCCTTGAGCCAAAATGTTGATTGAAACCTACGGTGTCAACTAGAAATGCTCCTGGCTATGCATAGTAGGAAATCTGACTTACACAATCAAGATATTTTCCTCTCACATAATGGGAAGCTTAAATTACACTGAAGACAGTTCTCGCTCACGTAACTAGGTGTTCGGAGCCCAGGGTCTTAGATCTCCACAACACCGTCTATACCCAGGCCCCTCCGGCTCTGTGTGCGTCCATCCTCGAGCCAGTCGCCTCATTGTCATAAGATGGCTGCCACAGCTCCGGGCACAACATCTGTGTTGATCTATGGCTCCAGGGAACAGCAGGGGCACTTGGAGAGCGCTTTTCCCTCCGTTTATTAGGGGAGGAAACATCCCTTCCTGCCTCCGTGGTCTTCCTGGAGGCCTCCTTGGCCAGATGGTTCCCACCCGTTCTCCTGAACCGCCCCCTGGCAGGGAGCAGGGATTGCTGAGAGTGGCTGGGAGTTCCTCGGGATTCGTTCCTTGAGCTTGGGGAGGGGCTCCACCCCTCTGCCTGGACAAGTCAGGATTCTTTTAACCCAGGGGATAAGGTGAGCGTTAGTGCTTGGACAGACAAGCGCGGCTGTGCCAGTGCTGATCTCTGTGCATTATCTCAGCCCTCTGGACAGTCAGGGGAGGACACAGTTATCACCCTCATTTTAATGATGAGAAAACTGAGGCTCAGGGCACATCTTTTGCCTCAGGGCACAAAGTCGTGGGGTTCTCCTGTAAGACTGTGTGTGTGTGGGGGGGGTTCTGTTGTGATGTCTTGGTCATAGTAGCAATAGTAATTATAGTCCTTTGGGCGTCTGAGTGGGGAGCACTACTCAGGGGTGGCAGGGGCTTGGAAAATTAAGGGCAAATGGGAGAATTAAAGAAACACAATCGAGGAAGGGGAGCTGGGAGAGGTTAAGTGATTGCCCAGGTTCATAGCCAGGGCCGTGTGGGGTTTGGAACCGGGGATCCCACCCCGCTGCTCTCTGCATCTCATCTCTCTCCACTGTGAGTTTTGCTTGGTCTCTGTCCTCCGGGCCCAGGATGTCTAGGCTGTGGCTGTCAAAAGGAGGACGGGGTGAGTGGGTGGGTGGGAACCAGCAGGGTCGGGCCAGGAGCCAGGTGCGGAGTGGGGGCACAGATCTACCAGCTCCCGTGCTGGCTCTGCAGAAACGTGCCAGGAGTGCCTGCCATGCTGACCCCACCATCAGGCAGCTGGCAGGTGCTGACTGTGCAGGTTCCCAGCACGAGGTGGTGTCAGAGGTCAGGGTGGGAGGCTGGCAGCCTGAGGCACCAGCATAGGCAACGAGGATCAAAAGGACAGGACAAACCCTGGCTACAGCCCTGGAGCCTCAGTTTCCCTGCCGTGAGCTGGTGGTGGGAGGGTCTGGCTCTGAAAGGATTCCATTCTCAAGGTATAACCGTGGGCAAGCTGCCAAGCCTGTCTGTACCTCAGTTTCCTCATCTGTCAAAGGGGACCGTGAGACTGGTTGTCCTTTGAGATCTGGGAGATTGTGCAGTGGGTGGGGTGTCAGGTTTCTGCGAAAGTTCCCTCTCCTGCGCCCTCCCCCAGCCCTGCTTTGCCTCCATCACTGTCATTCCTAGTTGATTCTCTCTAATGAGAAATAACTAAGAATAGCTGATCACATCTATCAGATGCCGGCATCGGGCCAGAGCCTCGCCCGTGCCTCCCACTTCTCTTCCTAGTCCTCGAGAAAGCCGGGTGATGTGTGGACATGGTCGCTTCCCTCCATTTTAGAGTCTTGGAGACTGAGGCAGGGAGGTGAGGTCAAAATCAGTTTCCCCTCCCTCCCTGCCTCCCCCCTACCCTTCCACCCATGCAACAGGTATCTTAGGTGCCCCACCAAGTGCTGGGCACTGTGCTTTTTGGCAGGGAGATGGGGTGACCGTGGTGGGCACTGTTGCTGCCCACAGGAGCTGACCCACTAATGAGAGACAGACCTTAAGCCATATAGCTGGCTTAAGTTCAACCTGAGCTCAGTTCAGGTTGTGATGAGTGCAGCACAGATACTATCTGAGGTAATGAGGGCGTGACTGGGGGAATCTTCGTGGGGAAGGCGTGGGGAGGTGCTGGGGGCTCCTTTAAGTCACTTAGGGAAAGACCTCTCCAGGGGGAGATGTGCAGATCTGGGGGAGGGCATTCTGGGTGGAGGAAAGAGCAGGTGCAAAGGCCCTGAGGTGAGGCCACGTGTCAGGAGCAGTAAGGAGACCAGCAGGGGTGGAGTGTGGCGGGTGAGCAGGTGAGCAGGTGAGCGGGGCAGGTGAGACTTGCACAGAGCACCAAGCCCATTTCCTCTGTGAGGGAGAAAGTGTGACTGTGGTTTCTCCACCGCTGGCTGGAGGTGGGATGGGGGTTTCCTCCCCAGGATGCATCCAGGGTCCCTGCATTTCACCGTTAACCTGAGTACCCAGGGGCTGTGCTAATTTAGGAACCCCGCTGCTGTCCTCCTAGGGCCCTTTGGGTGAGGGGCTGAGGATGGACTGGGAGTGCCTCTGAAAGCCAGGTGGGCTGCAGATGCTGGGCCTCCCACGCTGCGGAACGGGGCCTGCCCACCCCCTGGACCCTGGCTGTCCCTCCCCCGCTGGCCCCTCGCAGCTGGGGTGGCTGCTCAGGATGTGCCTCTCTCGTGGCCACCTCCCTGGCAAGGCTCTGAGCACACTTGCCCTCCAACCACTTGCCTGGGGTCCCACAGGAGAGAGTTCTCTTCATCCAGTCAGCCCTGGCGGCCAGTGTGGCAAAATGCCAAGGCCAGCCCTCCACCCCAACCCCTGCCCCGCCCTCTGCTCTGGGCAGGCTGAGTCCTTCAGCCTCAGTCCTGGCTGTGTCCAGCAGTGCCTCTCAGAGTTCCTCACTTGGGAGTTCTTTAATGCAAGGCTGCCCTGCTCTCCTTGTCTAGCTGAACCTGCTTGAAGGCGTGTAGTCAGCTCATTGACCTGACTACATTCTCCTGCAGGATTTGGCTCCAGCTGACAATATCTTTATTCAATCAACAAACCCTTACTGAGCATCTGCTATATGGCAGGCCCTGCTCTGTGTGCTGAGGGTGCAACAGGGAACCAGCAGATGAAAGTCCTTGTCCCCGAGGAGCTGATCTCACTCATGGTCTCCTTGCCAGCTGTGCGCCTCGTGGCTCCTTGTGCAATCCAAGCTTTTCCCTACTTCCAGGCCATTGCCCTGTGCCCTCTGCTTCCCCCAACCCCGCCCACAGCCCACAAATACAACTCACACACTTTGCCTGAATGTCACTGGGGTTGCAAGAAACAGAAACAGATTCTGACTAATTTAAGGAAAGAAAGATGAGTTACTGGAAGGCCCTGGAGCACCCACAGAGTCGGGACCTAGGAGCCGGACTGTAGAAAGCGCTGGCACTGGGAAACCCCCCTGGCTTCAGCCGAAGGGCACCATCCTCAGAATCAGCACTGACTGTCCCTGTCCTGGGGTTTCCCACTCGGGTATTGTGTTCCTGGGGCAGGGGGCGTCTCATGGACCGCGAGCCCCCGACCTGGCCTGGGAGGGTGGCAGACCTTGGAGGACAGCCCCACGGGTTATATTAGCCTGGGAGAGTTGGCCCCAGAGACGGGTCCGGGGCACTGGGCCCTGTCTGTTCATAATTCAGTTTGAGTGTGATGTCACTTCTGTACATGAGTCAGATTCCTCTGATTTAAATGTTCGAGGTGTTTTCAGTTGCAATGACAGAAAACTAGACAGTGGCTTACACAGATCATCATGCCACCAGGGCAGAATCTTTTGTGCTTCCCTCAGCATCCTCAACCTTGTTAGTCACCGGAGAGCCCCTCAGCCCCCCGAGTCCCTTCCTCACACCACTTTTTCCCAGGCTGGGAGGGAGGTGCTGCTTTTCTTTGTCATCAGGAAGGAAGGTATTTTCCAGCACCCACTGGTAGCTTTCCCCAGATGTCTCACTGGCTCGAGCTAGGAGTTGAGCTTGATTTCTAGGACCAGAGCTCCAGCCATTGAGGAGGAAACAAGCCAGGGCTTAGTCTTTCTTTAGTATGAGGAAGCCTGGAGGCTGATGGCCACTGCAGCTAAGGCAGCCTCCTTGGGGGATGGCTCTGCCCTCCTTAGCATCTTTCTATCTTGAGGTTACACTGTGGGCTGGGATGACTGCAGGGGCTCCAGCCATCACATCTTTGTTCCAGGGACAAAGAGGGTTTTCCCAGAATTCCCCACTGTGGTTTCTCCTTGGCCAGCTATAGCTGCAGGAGAGGCTGGGGTCCATAGTTGTCTGGCTGGATGCACAGCTGTCAACAACCACGAGGGTTTCCGTACCAGGGCAGGATCAGACAGGGTTGTTGCTAGGCAACCAGCAATGCCTGCCATTGCATGTCTCCACCTCTCCTTTGTGGTGTCAATCACACAACACACAACATATTTATCAAAAATGCAATTGAATAGTTTTCTTGTTTGAGACTTACTAACAACATTCATGAAGATGCCTTGGGGTTACTGCAGCAAACACACACAAATCTGTGCCCTCGTGGATCCTTCAACCTAGGGCTGGTGGTGGACTTTTTACCAGCCTCGTTCAGCCCCCGGGTTTCTGTCCACCTAACCACCTCCCCTTCTTTTTCTATTCCAGGGCGACTGCCAGACGCGGGAGGAGGCGGTGGCACTCGGCGTGGGCCTGTGTAACAACGGCTTCATGCACCACGGTAATCCACCCCTGCCCCTCTGCCCAGCCTCCCGAGGCCTCGTTTCCTGGGGTGTCTGTCCTGGAACAGAAGGGCTAGCAGGGCCCCTGGCCCCTGGTGCATTTCACAGGGAGGGGAATCTGAGGCCTGGAGAGACAGATGGTGGGCTGAGTCTGCATCCATGGTGCAGGTGGGTGAGCCCAGTCTGGATGCCAGGTCTGTGGCCCTATAAGCCACTAGGTGTTTAGAGTGGCTCACAGGCCCCTCCACAGCCTCTCTGCTTTCCTGTGTCCTGTGCTGATTGAGGGGTGTCTAGTGGGGAATAAGAAAAGCTCGGCTGGAAAGATAGGAACTAGATTCCAGGTCAAATCTAGGAGCTTCTGGTGCCCTTATCCCTGGAGGGAATGTGACCTGCCAGGTTGGGCAGCCAGGCCAAAGCGTAGGCCCCTGGGCTTTCACAGGGAGAGGAGAGGCGTCTCCTGGGGACAGAGGACAGGTGGGTAGTAAGTGTGATGGGAAGGAAGCCAGGCAGGGCCACTTTCCTTGCCTCACCTCCAGATCAGTCTCTCCTGTTCCCATGGGGATAAGTCAGTGAGAGGAGTAGAGACCCTCCTGAGCTGAGGGTCCCCCTGGGTGCCTGTGGAGTATGCCTGTGAGGGGAGGGCAGAGCAGGGGGCCCGGGATGAGGGGACTCTGATGGTCCAGTGATCTGGGGAAGGGCAGTGTGGTGACCAAGGGGAGAGACCCTCAGGGTCTCTTGTCTCCTCCGCTTCTGCCTGGTGCTCATCATGTGGCAAACTCTCTGCAAAGGGCCAGTCAGTAATGTAGGCTTTGTGGGCCCCATGTCTGTCATGGCTTGCTGCTGCTGTTGAGCATAGAAGCAGCCACAGACACTGTGAACAAGTGGGTGTGACTTGCCAGTAAAACTTTATTAGAAAACAGGTGAAGGGCCTTCATTTCCTCGTTCCTGGCCTACCTGCTGTGCCTGCTGTCCCTTCAACAGGAGACAATGTGCTGGGGAGCCGAATGGTCACAAGTGCCTTGTAGCCAGAGGCCGGTTCTAGGTTGGGCTCAGTAAGCCCATGCCCTTCTCTTTAATCCTTGGGCCTCAGTTTTCCCACTTTTCTGCTGTCCCCGCTCCTCTCAGCATGCCACAGTTTTGTGGGGTTCGGGCTTGCTCTCTTGCAGCCCGTTTTCCCAGCTAACACAGGCAGGTTGTGCCCAGTCACGGCAGCCTGGCCTTCCCATCGATCCACACAGTCTCACCAGAGTCCCTCGTTCCCAGAAACCGCTGCTCCCTGTGGGGCCCTCTGACAGCTCCATCCCTCCTGCCTTCAGATGGGCAGAACCTCTCATTTGTGGGGGAGAGTAATTAGGGGTCCGCCCCAGCTGCTATTCCGGGAAGGCTGCTGGCTGTGGGCATTCTGCAGGGGGTGACTCCCAGGCAGTACCGACACCCTCGGGGCCCCTCAGGGAGGGGAAATTGCAGGGCGGGTCCCCTGTTCCTTTGCTCCCTGCCACGAACTCAAAAATAGCCTAAAATAGGAAAGGGCCAAATCCTAGGGTTGTGGCTGCAGCAAAATGCAGGTTAGGGCACGGAGCAGAGGGGGGGCTGTGGCCCGCGTGGCACCTCCCGCGGCTTTGGACCTGAGCTTGGTCAAGGGGCCTACGGTGTCCTCACGGAGGGCCCTGAGAGGCTGGAGGTCCTGCTCTCTCACTTTGGGCACATCTGGGGAAACTGAGGCTCATGATTTAATCCTTGCAGCCATCCTAGGAAGTTGATACTATTATGAGCCCCACAGATGGGGAAACTGAGGCTCAGAGAGGCTATAAGATCATGAAGTTAGAAAGGCGCTGAGCAGGAATTTGAACCTGGACCTGTGCCCATCTCACAAGTCTGGCCTGTGGCCTGGACTGAAGGATGGGCATGGCTGGGCCTCACCTGGCTGAGTGCTGGGCTTCTAGCAGGCTCCAGGGGACACAGAATGTGGAAACCCCCCCACCCACCCCCATCACCCCCAGGCCTGAGTCTTTCAGGCTAATGTATACAGTGGACATGATGCCAGCCAGTCTCCCTTGGCCTGGCTCCCCAGCTCTGGGAAAGCAGCAATTTGTGTGTCTGTTTTATCCAAAGAAGTAGGTAATAGGGGTGTCTTGAGAACAAGGCTCATAAACAGCCAGATGTCCTGGGGAGTGAGAGGTGGAGAAAGGAACTGCTGCTTTTGATTTAGTCACAACTCGGCAGAAAGCCTCCATCTTGAGATGACAGGGAAGTCTGGAAGCCGAGGCGACTGGTTATCCCACTGACTCCAGAATAGGGCCTTTCTCAAGGCAGGCCAGCCAGCAAAAACACAGATGTAGCCAGTTCTGCACCTGCTCGACCTGTGACCTTGGACAGTTATTTAGCTTCTCTGGGTCCTAGTCTCCCCGTCTGTAAAAGGCGTGTAGCAGATCCTCCATGGACCTTCGCCTCTACCCACAGTGTACCTGGCACTAGTAGGTGCTTAGTTTAATTATAATCCATGGGGACCTGTTACTGGTTGTTTTCATTCATTTTTCCTGTCTGTCTTAGAACAGAGGTAAATGGTAACTATTTTAGGTTTGGAACCATATAGTCTCAGTTGCAATTATTTAACTTTTGTTGTAATGTGAAAGCAATCCCAGGTAATAGGTAAACAAGAGGGTGTGGCTCTCTTCCCTTAAAACTTTATGTATAAGGACAGGTGGTGGGCCGGATGCATCAGCCCACAGGGCCCTTGTCTAGGAGTCTCGTTGTGGATTATTTCTGATTCCTGGTGAGACTGAGTTCCTTTTCATATACTTGTTGCCCATTTGGGTCTCCCCATCTGTTAATTGCCCATTCATATACTTTGCCCCTTTGTCTGCGAGTCTGCCTTCTTTCTCTACTGGATTTGTTGGAGTTCCTTGTGTATTAAAGATATTTATTCCTACAGTTACCTTTAAATGTGCTCTCTGCCTACGACCTTATTACTGAATGAAAGTCCTTACTTTTATTTTAGTGTGTTTTGGGGGATCTTGTACATGGGCATCTTTTTTTTAACCCTAGGGCAGAGATCCTGTCCTACATTTTTGGGGGTGAGCTTTAGTTTTACTGTTGATATTTGGGTCAAATCCATCATTTTACGATCATATATGGTGTGAGGAAGGGATCCAGCTTTATTTCCCCCTCCCCCCAAGTCAGTTTTCCCTGGAGCATGTGGGGGATGGTCTGCATGGCACTGCTCATCCACTATATACTGAGTTCCCGTAAACACATAGAATTTTACGTATGTGGAATTTCTGTTCTCTTCACGGGCTCTTTATCCATCTCTGGAGTTCAGTAGTTCAACACTGCTTTTATTACATGGCTTTGCAATATGTCTTTACAACAGGTGGGACAAGTTCACATTTTTCAAGAAAAGTCAGAAAGTCTGGTTTTTATGGGAAATAATGTAATATGTTAGTGTTGTCACATGATTTCATTTAATAAAACTCCGTGCTGGCCAAACCTAACTTGTACGGGGGCTGGTTCCGGCCCATGGCTGCCAGTTGGCAAGTGCTGCTGAAACCTTCCCCCGGGAGCCTGACCATGCGTGTGTGTGCTGGGTTTGCAGTGCTGGAGAAGAGCGAATTCAAGGATGAGTCCCAGTACTTCCGCTTCCATGCAGACGAGGAGATGGAGGGCACCAGCAGCAAGAACAAACAGCTTCGCAATGACTTCAAGCTGGTGGAGAATATTCTGGCCAAGCGCTTGCTGGTAGGAGTAGGGCTGAGCAGCTGCAGCTGCTTTCTCAGACCCCCCTGCAAGCCTGGGAGCTGGGCGGCCTTCAGATTATGGCTAGAGAAGGGTTCTCACCTTTGGGCACCAGAATATGGGGCATTCTGATTATCCTTCCAAGAGGCCACTTCACTGGCCGAGACGCCCCACTTCACAGAAGAGATTGCACTTGCTGGGCTCCTTTATTTTCCCTTTCCTTTCCTCTTGTCTATCCACTCCCCTGCCTAGCCTTGTGCAGAGAGGTGAGGCTCCTGAAATCACTCCTCCCGTGTGTTCTATGCCTTCAGTGCTCTAGGCTGGCCCCCTGTCCATGTTCAGTTGCCATAAATATCCTGGCAGTTAAGGTAGAGCATTTGTTAGCCTGTTCAGGTTTTTTACCAGCCTGAACCACCAAATCCTGTTTCTCTGCCCGCTGAAGAGCTGCATGCAGCCTCCATCTAAAAGCCTGGCCCACTGTGGGCAATTGGGAAAGGCACAGAAAGTTGATTTTTCAACACAACCAAGATTGGAGCTGAAGTCTCAATAATACTTCACTGCCCCTGTTGTACTTGTGGGAGCTGCTGTCCCTTCCGATTGCTCCCACTATGAAGTCCTCTCATGCTCCCCTTCACACTTAGAATATAGTCCAGTCTCTTACCATGGATCACAAGACTCTTCCAGCCTCTCGGCTTCATCTCCTGTGCTTTCCCTTTGTTCATTCCTTGCCAGCCACTCTGCTCTCCTTTCTTATCCTCCAGCAAGCACCACAGGGCCTTTGCACATGCTGTGCCCACTGTCTGGGGCATGTGCTTCACTCTATAAAGTTTTGTCCCTCATTTCATTCAGCTCAGATATCACCTCCTCTGCTGTCCCCTCCTGCCATGCCACTCCCTCCCTGCAGCACATTTAGTTATTTGTAGTCTGTTTGCCCTATTAGACAATCACATGTGGACAGGAATTGTCTCATTCAGTATTGTACTCAGCACCCAGGAGAGTAACTGACCCATATAATAGGCAGTACAGTAGCTCAGCACGTACCTGTTGAATAAGTAAGTTCAATGTCTCTCTGCCACTGAACCCCAAAATCTTCCAACCTAGAGAGATGGCTCCTCCCTAAACTCCTTTCCTATCTCTGAGTTCTTGGTGGCAGGACACCTTTGAATCTGTTTTATCCATTAGCCAGTACATTGAGCCAGCAGGTGGGGCAGGAGGGGGTGCAGTGGTGCATGAGAGAGGTGACTGTTCTCAGGTTGGAAGGAGAGGGGGAGGCAGGCAGGAAGAGCGAGCATGTGAGCAGCGACAGCCAAAGTGCTACCGGGTGGTGTCTTCACTTGAAATCTATGGATTGAGCCCCTACTGTGTTTCAGACCCTTTGTACCTTACTCCATCCTGCTGGCCTGGAGCTAGCCATGTCCCTGCAAGTCCCTCTCCCTGCACCCCTGCCTCTTGCAGACCTGGGGTGTGAGGAGCTGGCAGGATTGCAGCCGCATCCTGTGGGGTCCGGGTGGGCCGGCTGTAGGCCCACGGCACTGCCTCACTGGGCCTGTCCTGTCTCGGGCCCTCAGATCCTGCCCCAGGAGGAGGACTATGGCTTCGACATCGAGGAGAAGAACAAGGCCGTGGTGGTGAAGTCAGTTCAGAGGGGCTCAATGGCCGAGGTGAGGCCTCTCAGAAGGGTGGCCCTGACAGGGGCCGAGAGGGGGGTTGCTCTCTCACGTTCCTTGAGGCAAATCCAGGGATCTCTGGTTCCTTCTTGCTCGTGCCATTGTGGGGAAACTGAGTCCAGGACTATTTGAGTGAACTTGCTGGGGAAACTGGGTAAGGCCTCAGGCCTGGGGCTGTCCTCCCTATGTGTGCCACCAGCTCCCTCTCCTGGTCCTGTGGGGTGGCGCGAAGAGAGAGCAGATTTCTCTCAGCTGTGGTCATGAAAAAATCCAGTGATCTGGGCTTGAATAAGACATTTGTGGCTCTGGGGGAGGGGAAAATCCAGTCCGTGGCCGAGCATGAATATAGTCCCAGGTCCTCCCAGCTGCTCCTTGGGGTGTGGAGACAGGTTGGAAGGGGGGTGCGCACCTGCCACATGGCCCAGGCACTTGCTTGCCACCTCCTAGTGACTAGGGGTGCTTTTGGCTGCAGGTTGCTATAGGCTCGCCTCATGGCTGCTGGAGTCATCAGCCTCCAGTTTTATGATGATCTAAGTGGAGGGAGGTGGTTGAGCATCCAAGTTCAGAGTTGGCGTTGTCCCTGTTTTCCTAGCCAAGTCCTCACTCACAAGGCAGCTACTCCAGTTAATGGGAAGCAGGGACAGGCTGTGAGGAGTTTCCCCCAAGGAAAACACCTTCTTGTTAGCCCCTCCGGCAGGCTTCCCGGCACAGCTCTTTGGCCAGGATAAGTCTCGGGAGCCCCTGCGGTGCTGACTCCAGGGGGATGTGAGGTTCCCCTGGTGGGCTCACTCTGGCCAAGCTTGGCCTCTGGGGCTGGTGCTGTGCTGCCTGGGGTCATCTAGACTCCTTAGTGGGGGAGCTAGAGGCCAGTAACCCATGTGCTTGTCTTCCCTGCCCACCTTCAAGATGGCCGGCCTGCAGGTCGGGAGGAAGATCTACTCCATCAATGAGGACCTGGTGTTCCTGCGGCCCTTCTCTGAGGTGGAGTCCATCCTCAACCAGTCTTTCTGCTCCCGCCGCCCCCTGCGCCTTCTGGTAGCCACCAAGGCCAAAGAGTGAGTGTCTCCAAGGGCAGGGGGCCTGGCTGACCTGCCTCTTAGGAGTTGCAGGTGTGCTGGTGGTCGGCCTGCCCAGTTGCCTGTTGGTGGGAGTGAAGGAAAGTTTTAACTACAATTATATCTGTAAAAAAGCAAGCTGATTTAGGAAGAGTGATTGATGGTTCTGTTGCTATGTGGAAGTGACAGAAATCACCAAGGTGGCATGCGGCATATGTCTGCTTAACATTCTGCAAACATCTGGGGATTGAGAACAGGCTCCCAGGTTGAGTTTATTTGGCAGCTGGAGATGGGACAGGCCACTCTCTGTGCATTGGGTGTGGGACACAGTGCTACTGCCCTCATTTGTCTATCAGATGCTCACCGAGGGCCCACTGTGCGCCAACTGGTGCTCTGGGGCCTGAGGATCCAGCCATGCCTGATGGGCCAGCTCTACTCTTCATAGATCTTAGTTTAGTCAGGGGATAGAGCAGCAGACAGATGCCACGACACACAGCACAGAGATTTGAGAGATGCGCTGAACAGTGGCAGCCAGCATGGGGCAGACCTACAAAGCTGGGAAGGAGCTGCTGGGTAGAGGGATGGGCTCACAGAGATACCACTGAGGATTAAGGTGAAAACCTGAAGGAGATAAAGGAGGGGGTCAAATTCTGGAGGAAGAGTGTTCTAAGTGCTGGAGACAGCCAGTGCAAAGTCCCTGGGGTAGAACTGTGGCTGCAGTGTTTGCAGAACAGTGAGGAAGCTGATGGGACTGGAACAGAGTGAGAAGAGAGGGAGGGGTGGCTTGTCAGCTAGACAAGTTGGGCCAGGCCCTCTCAGACTTTGTACCCCCATGAGGACTGTGTAGCCACTGAAATTTCTGAGCGGAAGTGTGACCTGTGTTCTGGCAGAATCCCTCTGGCTGCAGATGGAGAGTGGGTTGTCAGGGGCAGAGGTGCAAGCGTGGGAGGGGGGGCATGGTGAGGAGGCTGCTGGCCGGGCCAGCGTGGCAGAGGTGCGGGCGGTGAGAAGAATTTGGAGACCACATATAGGCATAGGGGGAAGCGTTTTCTATTTTAAAAACTGTGCATTTGGTTGTCACTTCTTCTATTTAAGGCAAACACCCAGTTGCCTATTGGTGGGAGTGAAGGAAAGTTTTAACTACAATTATATCTGTAAAAAGGCAAGCTGATTTAGGAAGAGTGATTGATGGTTTGGTTGCTATGTGGAAATGACAGAAATCACCAAGGTGGCATGTGGCATGTGTCTGCTTAACATTCTGCAAACACCTGGGGATTGAGAACAGGCTCCCAGGTTGAGTTTATCTGGCAGGTGGGGATGGGACAGGCTACCCCATGGCCCCAGGGTGGGGTGCGGGGTGGACACAAGCTAGACAGGGAAGCCAAGGGCTACAGTCAAACACTGGACAAGCAGCCCCCATGCAGGACCCTGCCCGCTCTGCTCTGGGGCCCACCCACAGCATCAGCACCGCCTCGGCTCCCCGGTTGTGCTCTCCCGGGGACACTGCAGGCATTTCCCAAGAATCAGCACCAGGTTGAGCTGGGTCACTGCTCACTCTCCCATCTGTGACTGTGGACCAGGATATTCACTGGATGACATGTCAGTCTGGCCACCAAAAGTCCTCAGGACAGGCTGATGGAGAAGCTGGGGGAGGGACTGGCTCTCCAAGGGCCGGCCAGATGGTCCTGACTAATCGGAGGCCTTGGTGGCATGGGCTCTGGTTAAAGGAGCATTCCCTCTGTAGTTGGGGGCTGGAAAGGCTGACACTGCTACTATTTGGGGCTGGATTTCCTAAACAATCTGTAAGGTGGGGTCTGCTGGACTACTGGGAATGAGTCTGTTTTTCCTTATGTGTGCTTTTCCTGGGATAGGATCGTCAAAGTCCCTGACCATCCAGAGGCTTTGTGCTTCCAGATCCGTGGAGCCGCTCCACCATATGTCTATGCTGTGGGGAGAGGTGAGTGAGAGTCTGAGAAGGGAGTCGTGGGAGAAGGGTTTGTCTTTGGAACTGACATTCAGAACTGCCCAAACCATTACCCCAGGTCTGTGCCTTACAGTGCCCCATTTTTGTCAGTTACTTTATTGCTTGAAGGCAAGGCTTGCATACACAAATGCCAATGAGGGTCAAATAGTAACAGATGGATAGCAGAGAAAGACAATAGGAAGTAGTGAAGACTATGGCCAGGTTAAAAAATATACACTCTAAAAGAGTGCATTTGCATTATTATCGTGCGAAAATGTGGGTCCACGCTAGTCAGATTTGACTTTTTAAGAGAAGCCAGAAGTGTGAATTTGGCCACAATTTTGAGACTGGATCTGGTCCATGGGCCCCAGTCTGAGACCTGTACTTCTCTGTTACCTTTTACTTGCATGCTGTTTAAGTGGTCATTTTGTTTTAGAGAGAAACCAAATAGATCTGAAAATATTGAACTATTGGCCCTCTTGCATCTGAGGATTCCCCTTACAAAGTTTAAATAGGAATGGTCCACTTTCTTAGTCAGAGTTATAAAGTAAGTTGTGTCTCACGTAGAAAGCTGCTGAGAACTTGTTAATTTTTTGAAGTAGGTGGTTAAAGCAGTGGTTCTCAACTGGGGGCTCTTAGCCATACAGAGCATGTCTGGCAGTGTCTGGCAATCAATTTCTGATTGTTACAAGTGGAGGTGGGGTTGCTATTGGCTTCTCATGGGTAGAAATAAGACATGTGGCTAAGCATCCTTCAATGCACAGGACAAGCCCCCACGATAAAGAATTATTTGGCTCCAAATGTCAGTAATGCTGGGGTGAGAATTCCTGCCTTAGAGCAGCTATAGAGAATAGGAGTTTGTAGGTAAAACAGGCAAAAATAGTAAAACAGCTGGTATTCCTTGAGTATTTCTTGAGTATTAAGAACTGGGTATGGGGCTAAGTGCTTTACATATTTTAATCACCAATTCTCTGAAGAACTGTGAGTGGGTATTATTGGTGTTCCCATTTAGTCAAGACCCAGAGAGGTTAAGGTCACGCAGTTGGTTGGTCATTGGAAGAGCCAGGTTTGAGGTCAAGCCCCTGGGGTCCATACCACATAGGCCTGATACTCTCCCATGTCCAGACCAGCTCAGCATTCTTTTGCATTTGTAGTCCTTCATATTAACCAAGCAAAGCCTGATTTCAAGGCTTGCAGTCTGGGGATTATGGTTTAGCTGAGAAAACATGCAGCTGGAGTCTGGTGGACCTGGATTTGAATCCTGATTTTGTCTAGCCTTGTGACCTTGAGAGAGTCATTTTGCCTCTCTGACCTCTGTTTCCCTCTCTGCAAAATGGGCTAATTCTGGTCCCGGAAAGCTCTAGGGTGAAGCTGTGTGACCTTAGGCTAGCTGCTACTTCTCTGAGCCTTGATTCTTCTGCAAAATGCGAATGCCAGTCCCTGTCTTGCCCATGGGTGTGGGGTGGGGGGTGGCTCCAGGGTGGAAGGGATGGAGGTGGAGGGTTTGGGGATTGGGATGGTGGGTCGACTGGGGTCAGTGTCCCTCTCCACCTGGCCTTCAACCTCAAGCATTTGCTCCCCCCCCCCACCCCTTAGGCTCAGAGGCAGCGGCTGCAGGGCTCTGTGCTGGCCAGTGCATCCTGAAGGTCAGCGGCAACAACACAGTGAATGGTGGTGCCCCAGAGGTCCTGGAGCATTTCCAGGCATTCCGGAGCCACCGAGAAGAGGCCCTGGTGAGCCTCCTAGCTGCCAAGGGGGCCAGGGAGGCCTCCTTAGTGGGATAGAGGGCTGAGGGCCACCCTCTCTTCTCTGGGACAACCTAGTGTTTTGGGTGGGATGGGGCTGCCTACCTGGCAGGACTGAGCTTGACCTGACCTCTGTCTGCCCAAACCCGAGTTGCTGGGCTCTGATTCCCTGTGACCTTGATTTCCACAGCTATGAAATGGGTGTGATAAGAACCTCTTTTCTCATACCACACAGGCATTTTGGTACAGGCACTGGTAGTAGACACTGGTGTTTTCCTTGGGATGAGGACTGGGGTCTGTGGAGATGATACTTGTCCTTTGGTTCATTCTATAGGTGTTCACTGAGCACGTAACATGTGCCTGGCACATTTCTAGGCCCCGGGGACATCAGAGTCAGGGTTTCTGCTCCCATGAGTCTGACTGCCCTCCTTCTCTTGGCTTCTGTGCCATATCCTGGAGAGGCTGAGGGCTGACAATGACTTGAGGTCTCTCAGGATGAGTTGAGGTCTCTCAGGAAGGTTCCAGGGGAAAATCTTGAAGGCTTCTCCAAGGATGTCACCAGTGGGCTAACAAGCATGAACCTTGAAGTTGGGGAACTCTCTGCCCCTTGGCCCTGCCCCCTTACTCTCTTCCCCTCATAGGGCCTGTACCAGTGGGTCTACCATACCCATGAGGATGCCCAGGAGGCCCGAGCCAGCCAGGAAGCTCCCGGAGAGGACCCCAGTGGCGAGGGAGCCCGGGAGGAAGACCAGCCTGATGCAGGTACTGGGCAGATGGGTGGTGTGACAGACTCAGGGGGCCCAGGTCCTCCTGGGTCCACACTCCTCTGGGTCCTCATCTAGTCCCTCTCGATACCATCAGCTCTGTATTAGTTTCTAATGGCGCTGTAACTAGGAGCCACAAACACTGAGTATCTTACAATTCTGGAGGCCAGAAGTCTGAAATGAGTCTCAATGGCCCAAATCAAAGTGTCACCAGGCTGCATTTCCTCTTGGGCTCTGTGGGAGAATTCATTTACTTTCCTGTTTCAGCTTCTAGAAGCCACTTGCTTCCCTTGACTCATGGCCCCTTCCTGAAAGACAGCAACGTTGGCCTGAGTTCTCACACAGCATCTCCAAGTTCTAACTTTTCTGCCTCCATCTTCCCCATGGGAGGACCCTGGGATTAATTGACTTCTCTGGATAATCCAGCATAATCACCTTCAAGCCGGTGATTAGCAACCGTAATGCCACACGCCTCCAGAATTCCCCCTTGCCCTGTAACAAGACATACTTCCTGAAAGATGTGGGGCATCCAGGGTGGGGCCAAGGTTGGGTTGGAGATACAAATGTGTGGGAGCTCGCAATGGCCCCCCCAGATGCCTGACATGCATCACAGCCTTCGCAGGGCCAAAATTGAACTCCTGTTCTCCCCGCTAGACCTGTGACCCCACCCCCTCGGGGGTCCTGTCTCCATCCTTCCAGATTCCGGCGCCTTAGAATCCAGTTGAAAAAGAGAATATCTCGTTTTCTTTGTAGACTCAACATAAGTCCCAGACTTGACTCTCTTTGGCCCAACTTGGGTCACACGCTGGTTCCTAAACCAATTACTGTGAACAGGGGAAGCTGAATATACAGATTAACCAGGTTTCCCCTCTCAGGGAGGATACAGGAGGGCCCCCCTTTCTGAGTCACGTGAACTGAGAATGGGGCAAGAGAGGGGGTTGATTCCTAGAAGGACATCCTCTAGGATGAGGGGTAAATGATAGTGGCCCAGGAAAGGCAAACAGAGCTGCATACAATGCAGGCTTTTGTCTTCTCATGGGAGACAAAGCTGTCCATGGTACTGGGGCGGGGGGTAGGTGAATGGGGTGGTGCCCCTCCTCAGGGTTGCCTGTCTCTTTGGCTTTCAGCCTTCCCCCTACTGTCCCTGGGTCCCCAGCTGAGCCTGCATGAAGACAGCCCCACAGTCAGCCTGACCGTAGACAACGTGCACCTGGAGCATGGCGTTGTGTACGAATACGTGAGCACGGCGGGCGTCAAGTGCCACGTGCTGGAGAAGATCGTGGAGCCACGTGGCTGCTTCGGCCTTACTGCCAAGGTCTTGCTGGGCACTGCCTGCCCTGCCTGTGGGGGTGGGGCCACCTGATTCCTGGTTTCCCAGAGTTAGGAACTCTGAATTCTAGTCCCTGCCCCACCACTTGGTAGCCATGGGACTTAGGAGAGTGACTTGTTATCCCTTTAGTCTCAGTTTGCTCATCTGTAATATGGGCCACTAATAGACCTGACCTCACAGGGGTATCAGTAGAGATACAGGAGCCACTGTGGATGAGCCTCCCTAGCACACAGCGAGTGATCAGTAGCTGTTAATGTTTTTGCAGATACTTGAGGCCTTTGCTGTCAACGACAGTGTCTTTGTGCAGAACTGTGGGCGGCTCATGGCGCTGAGCAACAACATCAAGACCATGTCCCACTACGAGTTCCGCACCACCTGTGACATCAAGCTGGAAAGCATTGGCCAGAGGATTGCCTGCTACCAGAAGGTGCCTGCCTGGCATGTTTTCAGTTGTCAGTGTCAAAACCCAACTTGGTTTAGCTTAAGCACATGGGAGAATATAATTGGTTTGTATTACAGAAGAGTCTAGAGGTAAACTTCAGGCATGGTTGTATCCAGGTGCTCAGACAGATAGCACACTATCACAGGATTGTGGCCTCTCTCCTCTTTTTGACTTTGCTTTCCTTTGTGTTGACTTCACTCTCAGATAGACCCTTGTATATGGCAACAAAGTAACCTCTAGTAGCTCTATTCTTAGTGACCTCAATAGAAAAGGAAGGACCTGGATGACAGCTCTTACTGGCTTGACTTGGTCCCTTGTCTAGCCCAGTGCCCATCACTGCAGAGATGGGGAGGCAGCCTTCCTGAATTTCATGCGCTGTGGGTCAGGAAGAGATGGTTCCTTAGGCGCAACTCAGGTGCAGATGAAATGGAGAAATGGAGGTGGTAGGTACCTGAAGGTCTGATTTCTCCAGGTCTTCTCTGAAACATGGATCCAGTGAGAGGCAGTGTAGGGGAATCTAGTTTTATGTTTGGAGCTACTGGCGTTTTATCCAGTTTTGGATTGTTGTTGTAGGTCAGGTTAAAGTGGGTATGGGGGTGGATCAGAATTCCCAGACCCCTAAACTGTGACCCCATATTCCCCCACCTTTCTCAGTTTGCAGCCCAGCTGAAGAGCAGGGTCAGCCCACCCTTCAAACAAGCTTCCCTGGAACCCCATCCACTGTGTGGCCTGGACTTCTGCCCCACCAATTGCCACATCAACCTCATGGAAGTATCCTACCCCAAGACCACTCCCTCGGTTGGCAGATCATTCAGCATCCGCTTCGGTCGCAAACCCTCCCTCATCGGCCTTGACCCAGAGCAAGGTACCTGAGTGTGTCCATTAGAAGTTATGCTTGGATCTCACACCGCAGATACTTAAACAGAATCATGCTTAGAAGTGGGCAGTCCAGGGCTAGAGTGGCAGCTCCGCAGTCATCAGGGATCTAGGCTTCTTTCTTTCTGCATCATTCTCTTGATATAGTTTCCATCTTGAAGATGCCTCATGGTATAGAATGACTGCTGGAGTACCAACCATCATGTCTACATTCCAGGCAGGACAAAGATCACAGTAGTTTAAAGCACCAAATCGAATCTTCTTGAAGTTATCTAGTGAATTAAAAGAGTACCTAGAAGAAAAACATCCTCATTCATTGAGATCCTTGAAATATGTGTGTATGTCTTTATCCTAAGGGCTTGTGGGTATGTGGGGCTGTTTCAGAGGGAGCTCTCTTTCCCTCCACTGTAGGCCACCTGAACCCCATGTCCTATACTCAACACTGCATCACCACCATGGCTGCCCCTTCATGGAAGTGCCTGCCTGCTGTGGATTGTGACGCCCTATGCCAGGGTTCCAACAACAGCAGCTCTGGGCCAGCCAATGGAGCCCTGGGCCAGGAGGACCGGGGCCTGAGCTTCCTACTCAAGCAGGAGGACCGTGAGATCCAGGATGCCTACCTGCAGCTCTTCACCAAACTGGACGTGGCCCTAAAGGAGATGAAGCAGTACGTCACCCAGATCAACAGGTGAGCCGCAGCCCCGGGGGGATGGGAAGTGAGGAGTCAGGATTGCTCAGCTCAGCGCTGTGGACATTTTGAGTAGACCAGTTCTTTGTCGTGGGGTGCTGATCGCACGATGGGCGTATCTCATTTTATCATGCTTTGCTCTATCATGAATCTCGGATACTATGTTTCTTACGTGCTATATGCTGTGGCTTCTCTGTATCAAGCCAGCCTGTCTGAGCCATTTCTGCAACAGAATGTGTTTACTTTGTGTCTCTACCACATTTTCAGTAGTGTAGTATTTTTAAATTACGATATATACTTTAGACATAGTGCTGCCATACACTTAAGAGTATACAGTGTAGTGTAAACATGACTTTCATATGAATGGGGAAGCCAGAAAATGTGTGTGACTCGCTTTATTGCTGCATCTGGACCTCACCCCCCACTATCTTGGAGGTGTGTCTGCATATTACAGACTGTTGAGTGGTATTCCTGGTCTCTCATTGCAGTTCTGACAACCGACAATGTCTTGAAACATTGCCAAATGCCCCCTGGGGACAGCATCTTCTCTGGTTGAGAAGCATTATCTAGTGAAATGATGGAGGAGACAGCTGCCATCAGTAGAGATGGAATTCCTCAGAGGAGGAGCTTGGGGGACATTTATGATCTTAGCGTTACAGAGGGAGAGGCAGCTGGACACGATGTCCCTATGGGTGCAGTGCACCAGGACGCACGGACACTACCTGCAAAGACTAGCCCTCCTTTGATCAAAGTATCAGGTCTTGTTGCTTGGGCTGTAGGATCTGGAAAATTGAGGATGGAGATGTGGCACCTGGGGGACATGCTGGCCAAACCCAGGGCATAGATTCTACATGAAAAGGCGGTGCAGGTGTGGGAAGGAAGATGGGGGGGCTGGGAGAGATCAAAGAGACTTAGGAGTTGAGGCTACCAGAGGTGAGGGTGGCTGAGGAATGGAGGGCCCATGGACTTTGGTAGAGGACTGTGGGTGCCTTGATGGTGGGCAAGGTGTGGTGACCTCTAAGTCATGTACAGTGGTGTAAACCAACGCTATGCCGATAAAAAAAAATAATACAATAGAAAGCCATAAACAGAGACTGAAGAGACAGCCCCAGCAGGTGCAGCATCTGGACCGGGTTAGTGTCCTCTTTCTAACACACCAGCTGTGCGAAGACATTTTTGAGACAGTCAAGGACATTTGAACATGGACTGGGTACTAGATGATATTAAGGAATTAGTTAATAATTAAGGAGTTAGTAATTTTATATATGGTTAGAGCAGTTGGGTTCTATTTAAAGCAGTGTTTCTTAGTCCTGGCACCATTGATGTTTGGGGCTGGATAATGCTGTGTTGGGGGCGGGGCATTCTGTTCATCTCCAGCGCCCCCCCACCAAATGACCCTCCTTCCATTGTGGCTGCTGAATATGTCTCTGGACATGGCTCTTCCAGTTGAGAACTACTATTAAAAAAAAAGTCCTTATGTATTAGAGACAGCCCATTGCCTGTTTTATTTTATTTTCAGTTTTATTGCAACATAGTCGTGCCCATTTGTTTACATATCATCTGTAGTACTTTCATGCCACAGCAGCAGGCCTAGTTGTTATGAGGGAGACTGTAAAGCTTATGATACGGAGAACACTTGCTCTCTGGACTTTACGAAGTTTCCCAATGCTGTTCTGTGTCCTTGAGCCTGTGTCACTTCGGTGGTGCAGTCAGCACCCTTCCTGTCTCCCGCCCCCTACAGGAGGGACAGTGTATGCGCCTCTGCAAGGCTGCTGGTGGGGATTTCAGGGAAGGGACACAAAGCATTTTGGCTTCTTCAGCTTAGAGTCAAAGCCGAGGTCCGAGGTCAGCGCCTTGCCCTGAATGTCCATGGAGGCCAGTGAAGCTGCCATCTTGCAAGTCCAGTTCCAACTCTGCTCTTGCAGGCTGCTGTCCACCATCACGGAGCCAACCTCAGGGGGGTCTTGTGATCCGCCTTCAGCCGAGGACGCCTCATCCTCCCCATTGGTCAGTGAGGAGAGCGAGATGGACAGGACTGACCACGGGGGTATCAAGAAGGTGTGCTTCAAGGTGTCCGAGGAAGATCAGGAGGACTCAGGCCACGACACCATGAGCTACCGCGACTCCTACAGGTGGGCTTGGTGGGGGTGGCTGGCGGGACCATGGCGGCCACTGACCACCAGGAGGTCAGGGCCAGTGGGGCATTTGCCAGGAAGCAGTGGGGTGAATCCCTGTTGCTAAGCCTCATGCTTCTGGGGGATTCTCTGAGCCCTTGAAAGCACACCCCAAGCCCTGCCAGCTCTTGTGCCCCGGGGCTGAGGCTTTGGGGCCTGCCCTCTTGTGGGTGCCACCCACCCACTCTGCTTCCTTTCCATGCTGCTCACACTGGCTGAACGTGGGCCAGGAAAGTCAGGGTCTGATGTGTGTAAAGCTCAGCATTTCTGCAACAAGCACTGGTTTTCCTGGATCCAAGGAGGAAGACCATGTTTACCCTTCCTAGCTCTGAGAGGATCTGAATTGTCTTTCTGCTTGTAGTTTTAGAGCAAGATCAGCAAAATCCCAATGAGTCTATTAATTAGACTGAAAACTCAGTATCCTGTAGTAAGCCGTACAGAGGTAAATAGAATTCCTCACACCAAGGAAAAGCAAGCACAGTGGCCTCCAGGGAAAGGTTGTGTAGCACTCGGCCATGTGGCTAAAGTGGCATTGTAGAGGGGGCACCTCAGGTCTTTGAGGAAAAAATCCAGAACTGAGTGAATCTGGTAAGAAAGACCTCTGTCCTGGCCCTCCAGCGACTCGCGGGATCTGTGGGCCGACGCTTCGGGCTTTCTTGGAGTCTTTGTTGTGGGTTCTCTGGTGAACTGGGCACTGTGTTCTTTGAGCCTTGTGCCTACCAATCCAGGATTTCTCCAAATATCTGGTTTTCTCATCCTTAAAATTTTGAGTCCTTAGATTTTTCCTTTAATTGTCAAAAAGGCAAAGCAAAGAATTTCAGGATTATGGTTTTTTGACTCCCTGTACCTTCTGGGCTCCCAAGCATTGTCCCGCCCCCCTGGGGTTCCAGCCAGGCTACGTGATAGCAGAGCCATGTGGTTGACTGTGGGGTGGGCAGTGTGTCCAGGGACAAGGCTGTGTGACAGGAGTGACTCCCGAGGGGAACTCATTCACTCTCCTATTTCTACGTACCTGTGCCTGGAAGGCTGCACTCCATCAGAGGCAGAAACCCACCAGGTCCACCTGCCTGTCCCTGGCTCTGCTGGTTGACCGAGGCTGGTTGTCCACCAGAGGACCTGGAGTTGTGTCTGGACCCCAGAATGCGGATTCTGGGCGCTGGGAGCAGAGCGTGAGAGCTGGAGGGTGACTCACCCCGTACTCTCTGCCCCTTTGCAGCGAGTGTAACAGTAACCGGGACTCGGTCCTTTCCTACACCAGCGTGAGAAGTAACAGCTCCTACCTGGGCAGCGACGAGATGGGGTCCGGTGAGTGCAAGGGCTTGTGCCCCGGGAGAGGGAGACCCCACCCTCTTTTCTTTTCTTCTTCTCTTATTCTGTGTCATCGTGTTTTCCCTCGCGTTGCAAGGCCTGGCGGTGCGTTTCCTTTCACTCCCTCCGTCAGCAAATACACGCTGAGCAGCTCACATGTGCAGGGAGCACTGCCGAGTGCCAGACGTGAGTCCTGGCTCATGGAGCTGATGCTGTCGTGGCTGTCAAGGGCACAGAACACGACACCTACATGATGTAGTTACAGTGTGATGAGCCTCTGACGTCACTACAACAGGGGACCTGGGGTAAAAACGACGGGTTAGGCTCAAATCCGAACAACACGGAAAAATTCAGCAGAAGTCCATGGAAATCATCCAGCTGTCCTACCCCCCCCACCAACCCCCAGAACTGATCATAACTGATACTTAGATCAGTGGTGACTCAGACTTTGTACAGATGGACACGCGGTGGATGGAGGGGCGTCTGGATGGACAGATAGACATGAATGATATTTCATAAATGAGGTCATACTGGACCTGCAGCTCTTACGGGCAGCCTGAAATTTGTTTTGTTTCTTATTTTAGCGTTGTTGATTTCAGCGTTAAAAAATTTGACTTTGCGACTAGGTCACTTCCACACGGTTCTTGATTCTAAAGGCACGAGCGGTGGGTGGTGACGAGCCTCCCTCCCCCCTCCCCCCAGCCCTGTTGTCACGCTCCTGCTGTCACTGCTGTCCTGTCTGCCCTTCGAGAGGGAGTCTGCACATAAAAATGTAATTTTAATTATGCTTTGATTTAACAGAAGAATAAAAGCTCAAGTAAAATCAAAGATAACGCTGAATGTTAGATAAATATTTCATCATATGAGATACTCAGCCACAAAAACTGTCCCTGGGGAGGTTTTGGGAAGGAGCTTACACGTGGCAGCTGATTTAAGTGAAACAGCTGGGGGATGAATCAGGCGACTTGGGCTCCTGCCCCTGCTCTCTGCTTCCGAGTCTCCTCACTGGCAGACGGGAAGGGATCGCAGGGGCTTGCGGTGGCGGAATGCTCGAGCGCCGGTTGCCTGTGCTGCAGAGGAAGAAACTAAGGCGCAGAGAGCTTAAGTGGCTTGCCCAGTGACACACAGCCAGGCCCCATGTCAGTTAGACTCCTCACCCCGGAGCGCTCCTTGCCTTCTTGGGAAGGAGGTTGGGGAGGTGTGAGAGGAGGCAGGAGTCTACGGCCCTGCCTCCCTGAGCGTGTCCCACCTCGTCTGCTCTCAGACTGAGGGGGGATTGGTGATGGCTGTGGCCTCGGCTTCCCTCTAGGAGATGAGCTGCCGTGTGACATGCGGATCCCGTCCGACAAGCAGGACAAGCTCCACGGCTGCCTGGAGCATCTCTTTAACCAGGTGGGCCCTCGCTCCACCTCTGGCTTTACTTTGGCCTCCTCCCGCTCTGGGGAGAACCTCTGAACCAGGCTCTGGGGCAGGGACTGGGGGTCACGGCTCCCTGTGACCTGGAGGGCAACAAGGATCCAGCTAACCCGGAGCTTCCTGCCATCCAGGTGGATTCCATCCACACGCTCCTCAAGGGGCCGGTCATGAGCAGGGCCTTCGAAGAGACCAAGCATTTCCCCATGGACCACAGCCTGCAAGGTGAGCAGAAACGCGTCCCCAGGTGCGGCTAGGCGCGACACCGGCGTGCAGCCAGGGCACCACGGCCTGATGGCAGGTGTGTGCTGGGTGGGGCGGGGCACCCTGGTGACACACGCAGCTTCACCCCTCTCCTTCCTGGTGGTAATGGGTCATCCAGAGTCAGCAAGTTCAACCCTCAAATCCAGTCAGTTTTGTACAGACAGTGAGCGGAGAACTGTGTGGTCATCCCTAAAGCACCGTGGAAACCAAGACCAAATTTATGACAGAGGCTGTGTGTCCCGTGAAGCCTGAAGCAGCTCTGCCCTGACCCCTCACGCCCCTGAGTGGGCCCCCGGGCCTTTCTGGGCCTCTCTCTTCCCGTTTGTAACATGAGGGAGACTGGAGCGCAGTTTGCCAAGATTCAGTCACCCACATTCCTCTTCATCATTTTAGCCACTTCACAGAATCTCCTTACAGCTTAAATTGTTTTTAACTGTATTCATTTGCTATCTGTATTATTATTATTGATGTAACTTGTTTGAAAAGGTCTCCTTAAAGTTTAATTCTGAAGGGAACATGTGAAACCCCCCATTTATAGAAAGCCTGTGTAACATGCAATAAGCGAACAGAAAGCCAGTAGGAACATAACCCAAAAAGTCATCCTACTGTGGCTACTGTTGCCCCCCAACACACCCCCCCCCACCGGGCTCTTTGTTCTTTTGTCATGAAAGAGATGAGTGAGTTAAACGGTGTTAAGGACTTACCCATATCACATCGAGATTTTCTTCTTCAATATCTGAGAAAAAAACGAATCAGCATCACTTAGTTCCTCACCCATCTTCCTCCCGTTCACCCATCTACCGACCTATCCATCCATCCGTCTGTCCACCTGTCCACCCACCCATCCAACCATTTATCCTTCCTTCTCACCACCTGTCCATGCATGCATCCACCCATCCACCCACCTGTCTACCCATCTATGCACACATGTATGCATGTGTACCTATCTACATACATGCATTCATCTACCACTCACTCTCGTCCACCCGTCTTCCTTCCTGCCATCCATCCATTTATCCAACCAACCCTCTGTCCAACCATTCACTCACCTGCCCTCCCATCCATGCATCTGCCTGCCTGCCCCATCCATCCATCCATCCATCCATCCATGCATCCATCCATCCATCCTCCAGTAAATAGTTTCAAGAACTAGCTTAAGCCAGTCTTATGCTGGGCCCCAGGGACCCTGAGATAAATCTGACACTGCCCTGACCTCAAGGGGCTCTCAGTTGGGTGTAGCACATGGGAAAAGAACGAAACAGCTGCTTCTAAGTGAGGGTAGGAAGTGATGAAGAGTTGGGCTCACCTAGCTCAGCTACCCCTCCCGCTATCCAGGGTCATCTCTCCAGGGATGGACTCAGAAAGCAGAAACTTAAAACCCAGAGGAACCAACACCACAAATGTGTCAGAAACCTGGGGTCTTACAGCAGGGAACCTAAGGGCCCGTGTGTGCCTTGCCTTTGAATGGTCCTGCTGGGGCCAGGTTCAAGTCCAATTCTGTCACTACCCACCTGTGTGACTTTAGGCAAGTCACGTTCCCACTCTGTGCCTGGGATTCTTCCTCAAGGTACAGGAAGGCTAGACTGGCTTGTAACTCGTGTGCCAGCTCGATTGGTTATAGCTATGAGGAGGCCAGTGCCTGAGATTCCTTCCTAGGTTACATTCCTGCTTTGGAGAAAAGAATGTGGTGATTGACTTGTGATGTCTGCACTGGATTGGTTGCGGCTGTGAGAAGTGAGTCCTCAGCAGGAAGGAGCGCTGAGATCAGTTACCAATGTCTGTCTTGGTACAATGAATCAGCAGCACACTTACCTGTACCAGGTGGTACCCAAGAGTCCTGCCAGCAACCTTGACCTAACATCATGAGCTTGGCATCTGGCGATGGGACCTAGGCCTTTGTCTACCATTCTCCAAAGCTACCACTGTCCCTCCCCTGGCCCTCATGTCATTTTCCTGCCCCAGAGTTCAAGCAGAAAGAAGAGTGCACAATCCGTGGCCGGAACTTGATCCAGATCAGCATCCAGGAGGACCCCTGGAACCTTCCCAACTCCATCAAGACCCTGGTGGACAACATCCAGAGATATGTGGAAGGTCAGTTTCACAAGAAAGGCTTCACGTGTGTGGGAGAGGGAGTGGCTCGTGGCCTCTCGGTGTCACTGTGTTTGGATCGGAACTGGTCTGTGCCACGTCCCTTTGCCCAGGGAGAGGGTGAGAGGAGCGGGCTCCTCTTTTTCCGCTGAGTGTCTTGTCCTGGGCAGGGCCCTGGACTGTACATACTTGACCAAGGAACTGCTGATTGGGGTGCCCGGTGCTTCCTGGCAGAGTGAGGAGGCTGAGGAGACTGAACTTGCTTCTTTCCCGTTTCTGAAATTGTGAATTTAGTTGCTTATTATCAAGCTGCACACTCCACCCTTAGGTCCACAGAGAGGTTTTGATGCTACAGCACTAAAAAATGGGCATTTTATGCCAGTGTTTAAATCTAAAATCTCACATAAAAATCTAGATTTCTGACTGCTTTTGAGCACTCAGAAGGCCTGGCAGTCACAGGTCTGGAGGTGACTGGTGGAGACTGCCTTCCCGTCCGCTCCTGCAGTCTGTTGTCTGCTTCATGGGTCTTACCCTGCCTGGCCCTGGGCAGCTTTGAGTCTGGACTCCTGGTTAGAAGGACCCGAGGCCGGGACATTGGACAGGGACAGAAGTAGGTGCGATGCCTCAGGCAGGCCCCCAAGAAGAGGAACTTTAACTTCTGAGGTTAAAGTCTGTGTGACCCTGAGCTCCCTGCTCTCCAGCACTTAACTGGTCAACTGGTCAGGAGCACAGTCTCCAGAGGCAGATGCTGGTGCCTGGACCCCCTGCCTGTCACTTATTGGCTGTGTCTTATTGGCAGCTTCCTAGACTTCCCTGTGCCTCAGTTTCTTCGTGTGTAACATGGGCTCATGGTGCTCCCTCCCTCACATGGGGTTGGGATGATTAAATGAATCAATGCAAACAAAGCACTTAGTTTACAGCACTAAGTACCTGGCATACAGTAGGTCCTCAGGAAGGATAGGGTGTTCTTACTCCCATGCCCAGCCCTGCATCTTCCGGCCTCTCCAGGACAGAGAGAGCTGTCACGCGACACTTGACAGCGTTTCTGTCACTGGTGGTTCCCAGCAGGCTGTGGATCAGCCTGGGTGCACAGGAGGGGGGTCATCTGCATCTGTGTAATTACCCTCGGGACGTTCGCAACACAAAGTTGCCCAGTGATGCACTTTTCATGCCGTGTCCCCCTGCTGGCAACACATGACTGTCTCAAAAGGCCAAATCCAGTAGCCTTTCAGATTTTTTCTAAGCCCCTTTGGGGACCAAGAGCCTCTTTTTGAAGGGAAGAGACCAGGATGTCAGCCCTGGCTCCAGAGGGTCTGAGCTTTGTCACGCTGTACGGGTCCCTGACAGCACAGGACGTGCACAGGGACCTGAGAAGGTGTGAGTGTTGGTGTGTCTGAGTATGCACACAAGTGTGTGTCCGTGTGTGCCTATGCACGTGTGCAAGGAAAGGGCTGGAGGGGCTGGTTTCAGTCTCTGTTGGTGGGTACATGTAAACAGACACAGCTAACAGTTGGGGTTCCATCCCCTGGAGATCTGGGAGTTTTTTATTCAACATTTAATCACAGCTCCTTCAGCCCAACTATGCGGGCCCAGCTGCGTGGGCTCCCTACCGAGGGGTCAGAGCACTTGGGCCACGGAGGGCCCCGCTCTGCTGCTGCCCTTGGCTCACCCTGCTTTCTCTCTCCTTCCTTCCCCCTCCAGATGGGAAGAACCAGCTGCTCTTGGCCCTGCTGAAATGCACAGGTGAGGGCTGTGATCCACATACACATGGGGGGCCATTCTGGCAGGGGTGCTCATGGCTGTACCCCAGGAAGATGAGGTTGCTCCCCTGTGGTCTCAGGGCTGCTTGGTGGGGGTGAAGCGACAGTGTGGCCACCAGCACCTTCAAGAATCACTTAGATCTCTCTCACTCCTCTTGTGTTGAGGGGACGAGCCTCGTCCCTGGAGCCAGGAGCCCCGTGTCTTGCCACCTCCCAAGCCTGAACGGATCTTGACAAGCACACGGGACAGAGGATAGAGGACCAGGAACAGTCCCCTCTTTGCCAGCAGAGTGCCGGCCCCAGCTTGGGGCTCCTGCACAACACCAGTGGGGGACAGGAAGGGTGGATGGTGGGCCAGGGGACGCTGGAGCTGCTCTCTGTCCCTCCCTTTCCCCAGAAAGTCTCAGCCAGGGAGCAGCTAGAATAGGATCGAGGTCATCAGTGGCCACGAAAAACCAGTAGGCAAAGGCCAGTCACCCCAAGTCACCCCTTCCAGAAGATTGGAAGCCTGGATGACCAATTGCCTGGAAGTGGCCAGTTGTGCAAACTGTCATGAGCAGGGACCAGAACGGGGTTGGGGGAAGGCAGGGAGATTTGCTTCCCCAAAATAGAGAAAATGGTCAGCTGCATTTCTTAAAACATGGAGCTTGGCAGAAATAGGCGTCCAGGCAATCAGGGGAAAGCCCCAGGGAAGTCACATTTTTTTTTTTTTTTAAAATAGGCACAAGGGTCATTGAGAGAATTGAGGTTTATTGTAGCAAATTGTCTTCCTTTTGGAAATTCGGTTTTGTGGAGTTGGCTGTCAGGGGCTAGCATGCCGGGAGCCCCAGATGGGTGGTCTGCTGGGGTTGGCTCTGGGCCCGGGCCCTGCCTTCTGCCCGGGACCGCGCACCCGGTGACCCCCGCCCTCTGCCCCAGACACGGAGCTGCAGCTGCGGAGGGACGCCATCTTCTGCCAGGCGCTGGTGGCCGCTGTGTGCACCTTCTCCGAGCAGCTCCTGGCGGCCCTCAGCTACCGCTACAACAACAACGGCGAGTACGAGGAGAGCAGCCGGGACGCCAGCCGCAAGTGGCTGGAGCAGGTGGCGGCCACGGGCGTCCTCCTGCACTGCCAGTCGCTGCTGTCCCCCGCTGCTGTGGTGAGTGAGGGGGTAAGGTGGGGAGCTCCTTGCTTTGTCCCTGAGTGCTCTGTCCATCCACTGTCTGGGGTCAGAACCGGGTAGCCCTGGGGAGGCAGAGGCAACACCTCAGCATTTGGGGAGCTTTTCAACAGAGCTGACGTCCCCGAGATGCAGCTTGCAGTGGCATTTGCTCTGTGCTGTTTCTTCCTCCATCCACGCTGTGTGCCCAGGCCAGACTGCCCACATCTCTGCAGCCCTGGGCCTCCTAGACCTTGTCCCAGGCTGGTCTGGAAGCAAAGTCTGCTGGCCCACGGGAGAAGCATGGCCTTGCTGCGCCCCCTGCTGGCTGATGTTGCCCGCAGGTGCCAGCTGGGTAAAGTCGAGCCAACATGGGGATCAAAAGGATTTATGGGGTTGGTTAGGTTGATATGATGAAGTTAGATTGGTGGGGTGGTCCAGGCAGGAGGACCATCCAGCACATTAGACCATAGATATGTCCGACTCTGAGAGATACAAGACGAGCCCAGAGCAAACACAGTTCCACTCACTGCCTGGAGTGCCCAGCTTGGGACTAGCGTTTTGGAGTGAAACCCTGGGGCAGAGCTGGTATCTGAGAGTCCTCCACCCTGTCCTCCCCTGCAGAAGGAGGAGCGCACCATGCTGGAGGACATCTCGGCGACCCTGTCGGAGCTGGACAATGTCACCTTCTCCTTTAAGCAGCTGGATGAGAACTGCGTGGCCAGTGAGTGATTCCTCTCCCCCACTGTGAGATTTGGGGGTTCTAGGGTGGGGGGGGATGCTCTGGGACCTTCCTGTCTTTCGCCCTGTCACCAGGCCAACTGCTCATGCTCCAATGTGAGCCTCAAAGCTGAACCTTAGGGCTCCCATAGATAAAGAAATGTTTCTTCTTATACAAGCCAGCCACCCCACAACTCACTAAGGGAGCCACAGCCAGCGCCCAGCTCCTCCTGACTTCCACGCTAGAAACGTCCTTCTCTTTAGTGAAGACTCGTTATAATTTCCTTAGGGCTGATAGCATAATTAAGCTCCTTCCTTCCTCCTTCCACCCACCTTCCACCTGCCCACACTCTCATCCATCTGTCCTTCCGGCCATCGACCCACCACCCATCTACTCATCCATTCACCCACCTGCCCATACCCACCCTCCCACCCACTCATCCTTCCACCTGCTGCACCCACCCGCCCACCCACCCAACCATTGACCCATCCGTCCTTTCATGCTCCCACCCATCCAGCCAGCCACCCACACATTAGCATTTATGGGCCTGCAGCCTGTATCAGGCATAGTTTTAGGCTCTGTGCTGCAGTGGAAAGAAATATGGCCAAGGTTCCTGCCCTCTTGGAGCTTACTGTCTAGCCCAGTGGGTCTCAGCCCTGATTGCACTGGGATCATCCAAGGAACTTTTCAAAGATACTGATGCTCCAGTCCTAGTCTTGAGCCTAGGTGATTCAAATTGAGTTTGTGGGGGTGGATCCTGGGCCCTGGGATTCTAGAAAGGCTTTCCAGGAGACTTGGATATACAGCCAGGACAGAACCACAGGGCTTGTTCTAGAAATGGTTCTCTGAGTGTGATCCCTGGACCAGCAGCACCTGGGAGCTTGCTAGGAAGGTAAATTCCCAGGCTTCCAACTCCCTGAATCCACAGCTCTGGCGGTGGACCCAGAGATCTGTGTTCACAGGCCCTCCAGGTGATTCTGAAGCAGACTGGTTTGAGAACCACTGCTCTGGGTCACTGTTACTCAGTGTGCTTTTATCATCATCCCCAGAGGAGCCTTTTCATATTTTTTTTTCCTAATTGCTACACCCGCATCACCAGTATATGATGTTTTCATGCTGTTTGTATATCTGTGCTTTATACATAAGAAGAGTAAGATTTTTTGCCCCCCTCCCCACCCCCAAGAACCAATTTTTTTAACCTCATTGGGAGTGTATTATCTTCTTCAGGATGTGTAGATTAGAGTTAGATGGACAAAGACATTTGTTTCTGGTACAAGTTGGAACTGGTTAGCAGTGACTGTCAAGCTGAGCTGGGCTCAGGAGGAATTGCTGATTGACTAGTGATGTCTGCCAGGGTACAGGATGATTATGAATGCCACGATCTTGCCAACCCTGCCATAGCTCTTCCTTGTGGGTGTGAGTAAGATGCAGGGGCAGCTGAGGCCAGATAGAGGCCCTGGGCTACCGGGGAGGGCTGTGGGAACACCGGTGAGGCTCTAAGACAAACACTGGTCCTGCCCCAGCTGAGCAGAATCAATGCGTAAGAATTAAACAGTGGACACTTGAACTGTTGAAGGAGCCAGAAAGGGAGGTGAGAGCCTGCTCTCCCGAGTGTGGGAGGATGGGGTGACTGGGGTTCCCCTAGAAGGCAGAGAGCAAGGAGGTCTGCAGCTGTCTTCTAGGGTGGGCAGATGCCAGCCCGCAGGTCTGAAGCAGCTCTCGAGAAGAGGGGGAGTGCCTCAGTGGTGAGTGCCTCACCCCACATGTCCCCCCACAGACACCAACGTCTTCTATCACATTGAGGGCAGCCGGCAGGCACTGAAGGTCGTCTTCTACCTCGACAGCTACCACTTCTCCAAGCTGCCCTCACGCCTGGAGGGCGGGGCCAGCCTGAGGCTGCACACTGTGCTCTTCACCAAAGGTGAGTTTCGGGGTGCTGGGACAGCCAGGGTGCCGAACACAGCGGGGTCCAACCACCTTCCTCCCTTTCCTTCCTTCACAGCTCTGGAGAACATGGAGGGGCCACCTCCTCCAGGCAGCCAGGTGGCAGAAGATTTGCAGCAGGAGATCAACACCCAGTCCCTGGAGAAGGTTCAGCAGTATTACCGCAAGCTCAGGTAGCTGCCTGGGTGCCACATGGGGGAGAGGAGTCCGCACGGCACCCGAGGGTGTGGGCATTAGCAAGTAAGGCGCCAGGCAGGCCCCCTGTGTGGGAGTGGGCCAAATGCCCCCCTCTTGCCCACCTACTATGTGCCAGGCCATCAGCCTCCAGGAGCTCACCAGAGTCTCACAGCAGTCGGGGTCACCTTTCTAATGCACTTTGCAGATGTGGGGACAGGTTGGAGAGCAAGCCCAGCTACCAGGTCACATGGCTGGACAGTGGCTGGGCTGGGGTTTGAATCAGGTCTGTTTACATCCAACAAAGAGGAGCTGCTCACTCCAAGTGGGGTGGAAGGTGGAATAGAGACCCTGTGGTTCTTGAGCCTGTGAGGAAGGGGTGTGGCTCCTGCGCAGAGGGGAACCTCAGAGAGATGTGGAGAGCAGGGACTGAATCCATGAGGCAGAACTTCAGCCCAGGGAAGCAGCTTCCTTGCTCCTTCCTATCATCCTTGCTCCTTCCTACCTTGGACCTTATTGTCTCCAGATGCCTTGTGATAAAAGTATGCTGAGAACTAGGAGACAGACGAGCGTTTGTGTAAAGCCTTCACCGTATTGGGGCCCAGCCTTACCATTTGGAATTGGGAGCGTGATGGTTCCATTCATTTCTTCAGGAAAAACATTGGTTATTTTATTAAAACTGGCATCTCTTTGGATTGATAGGCACCACCCATCTGGCCTGTTTGTTGAATATTTTAAATATTGCTTGCGAGGTTCCTTCATCCCTTCCCTTCATGCACCATGTTAATCTAGACTTCCGTGGGCCACACTCTGCTCTGGGTCCTTGCTTGGGCTTCAGCAGTGCCCAGATGAAAGCCTTTCTTCATGGAACATATTCTAGAGCAGGGCTGGCTGGCCCACGCCCTGGTTTGTCAATAAAGCTTTATTAGCACACAGCCATGTTTATTTGTGTGCATGTTGTCCGTGGCTGCTTTTGCACTCCACCAGCAGAGCTGAATGCAGTTTTAGTAGATATTGTCAGATCTGCACAGCCTGAATAGAAAAAGCCTGCTGCTCCTGTTCTAGATGGGGAGGTAAACCCGAAGCCAGTAAATAGAGCGGTGTAAGGTGTCAGTGGGGAGAAGAATCTGCAAGGAGCGAGGCAGGGTGTCTGGGGTGGGGTGGGATGAGACCGTTGGGTGCTATTTCAGAGGACAACAGGTACAGGTGGATTCGAGGGGTGTTTCCTACGACTACTGGAGGAAGTGGAGCTGTGTGCTGCTGTGTGGGGCTCTCAGCAGTTTAATTCTGCCCAGGGGAAGTGAAAGGGAGCATTGGCTGCCCCGGACAGGGATTAGAAGGACAGCAGGGTAGTGGCCCCGCCCTCACCCTATCTTTCCCTCTCAGGGCATTTTACCTGGAACGGTCTAACCTGCCCACGGATGCCAGCACTACAGCGGTGAAGATAGATCAGGTGTGTCCACCTTCCCCCCTCGCTGTGGAGCAAGCACAGGGCTGGAGGTCCCGGTCAAGACTCAGTGGAGCAGGTTCAGGTGGCCTTCATACCAGAATCTGCTGGAGAAGCCCCTGAGGCCTCTGTGGTTCCTCCTCCAGGAAGTCTCCTAGGATCACTCCCTCCCCATTCTGGGAATTCCAGCGGCTTCTCCGCACCTTGGCATTTCTTAGATGGTGACCTCCACCGGCACCGCTCTCTCTGCCTCCCAGCCTCACTGGGTCACAGCAGCATTGTGCTGAGGCCTGAGCCAGGCAGGTCAAGGTAGTGAGTTCCAAGTCCCACGCCTGCTGCACAACAGTGTTCTTTTATTTCAAATTGGTTGCCAATATTGAAAAATGAAGACTTCCCATAAAATAGAGGTTTTGAGATTTTCTTGAGGAGATCTGGCTGTCTGATGCCCACATTCCCTTGTGCCTACTGTCACATGCTGGGTTGAGGCAGGCCTTGGATTTGACCACGGTTCTAGGGTACTGACCTTGGGGTTCTGGGGTGAGGTGAGTGGCCACTGTGAACCTTCATGTGTGATGGAGGGACCCTGGGGCGTGAGAAGGCTGTTCCTGGGGTGGCCCTCAAGCTGGTCATGAGGGTCAGAAGACAAGGCACCCCTGAGCCTAGGCAGGTGGGCGGGTGTAGAGAATTACACTGCAAGGATAGGTCTGAAATAGGTCGGGAACACTGCTGTCCACCAGCAGGCAGGGGGAGCCACAGGTGGTCCTTGAGCAGGGATCATGGAAGGTTCCTTGGACTGTAAGCCCCTCCCCCTGGTGAGGTGAGTGGGAGGAGAGGATGGTTGCAGTCAGGGGGCTGGACCAGAGGGAGACGGGGGGCCTCCTTTGACTGCCGGGTTCTGTGCCTCTCAGCTGATCCGCCCCATCAACGCCCTGGACGAGCTCTGCCGCCTCATGAAGTCCTTCGTCCACCCCAAGCCTGGCAGCAGCGGCCTGGGCGCTGGCCTCATCCCCATCTCCTCCGAGCTCTGCTACCGCCTGGGCGCCTGCCAGATCGCCATGTGCGGCACGGGCATGCAGAGGTGGGTGCCGGACCCCTGCCAGGGGGTCAGCTTGGGGGCCCCGGGAGGGCCAGCTGTGTGTCCTGGTGCTGGCCCCACCTGTTGAGCACAGACAAGGCCTTGCCATGCTCCAGACCTCAGTTCGTCCATCTGTGAAGTGGCGGCGGGAGCGGGCAGACCCGGGAGTGCTGTGGGACCGGCTGGGGCCCCAGCTCTGAGGTCCCGGTGAATGGCCATCTGTGCGGCCTGGTTCTATTGGACATGAAGGATGATGATCGCTCATCTTTTGGGGGCAGACCTGACCTCCATGCCTGGTGGACACTTTCCGCCTTTTGTCCCCACCACACATCCCAGTTCTCTGCTCTGGCAGGAGCTCACCTGGGTGTAGGACCCGAGGCCTAGGGCCTGCTGGGCCATGATGGTCTGGGTGGTAATGGTGGGTTCTGGATCATGTAGTGTCTTGGAGACCATTTGGGGGCCAGGGGCCCCCCAAAACTCCTCCCCTGCCTCACCACCCTCCCCCATCCCTCCGGCAGGAGCACCCTGAGCGTCTCCCTGGAGCAGGCAGCCGTGTTGGCGAGGAGCCATGGTCTGCTGCCCAAATGCATCATGCAGGCCACCGACATCATGCGGAAGCAGGTGAGGGCGCCGTCTGCAGGGCCGCCAGGTGTCGGCGCCCAGGCCTGGGCATCGTGGGCTGAGGCATGTGTGCTCCCCCTGGGTGGGCCTGTGGGGGATGGGGAGAAAGAGGGTCCGTTGGCCCCAGATTTGGACTTTCTCCCTCAGTGGAGGGGTCTAGATTTCAGCTTCTGGGGCCTCCCATCCCCCCAATCCCATTCCACCCCCAGGCGCCCTGATCTCTGTGCAGAGGCAGCCCTGGGTCTCACAGTTGTTCCTTCCAGGGTCCCAGGGTGGAGATTCTGGCCAAAAACCTCAGAGTTAAGGATCAGATGCCCCAGGGCGCACCTCGGTGAGTGTCTGTCTCTCCCTCTCTCCTTCCCCTTCCTCTTGTCCAGTCCTAGAAGGCCAGGGCCCTGGCTTGGCACCAATTCCCCCTGCTCAAGCCAGGTGGACCCCCCTGGCGTTCACTTCTCATTTGGGAGACCTTCCTTTGGGGAGCGGCAAGTATAACTCAGTCTGTTACTTCCCGGGAGACCCATCCTCGCTCTGCTTCCTGTTCTCAGACCAATGCACAGCAGCTCCTATGTCTCCCTCTCCACCCAAGCCCTCAGGCCTATCTTCTCCCTCCATCCACCCTTGAAATGGTTTGACTCACAAGTAGTTGCAGAAGCACTTCAGCGTTTCCCCGGCGCAGTGTCTGACGGAACTGCGGACTCAGGCGTGGCCTTGGTGTCTGGCTGGTGGCACCTACAGGCCACGTTTGAGTCTTACCTTTTTCTACCCCTGCTCTCTTAGCCTCATTTCTTTTCAGTACTTTTACTCCGGGCACTTTCCCAAACTCTTGACCCCAATGTCTCCTTTAAGAAAAGCAAAGCCGTTCTCTGCGGGCTGCAGACTAAGTGAAAACTCCAGGGCCAAACGCTGTGTCTGGGTCACCATCATTAACGTGGAGAACACACACACTCTCCACGTGTCTAACACACAAACACACCAGCACATCCATATTTGTGGACACCTGGCCGGTCTGGATGGGGCAGATGCTGCCCCTGAGGGGACCCAGGGTGGCGGGGGGGACATGGAGGCTACTGAGTATTACTCACTTGGCCTCATTACATGTTCATGTAAGGTTGGAACTAGTAATCTCCCCAGCCTGCCCGGCCATCCCTCATCCTCTCTGCCTCCGCCCATTAGGCTCTACCGCCTCTGCCAGCCACCTGTGGACGGAGACCTCTGACCACCAGCTTTTTGGTGCTCGGCTGCATCCTCGGAACTGGGATTTGGGAGGACGCGAGGACCACACCAGCCTTCTCCAGAGCTGGCCCAGGCCTCTGCTCCCGCCTGCTCGGGATGAGTCTGACCTGCGCCTCCTTCTGAGGACAAGCGGTGCCCCCACCCTTGGACCAGCTGCTGATCAGCCGAGACTGACATGTTCGCCACACTTCTGTCAGAAGCCCAAAGGGTGTTGGGGACCCACAGAGCTGATGGGTGCAGCAGGTCCCAGGGACACAGGGGAGAAGTCCTGGGCTCTGCTGATGGAGGCCCGTAGGCCCAGCTGCCCAGGGATGGCTCAACTGCACTTTGAAGCCCTGGTTTCCTCCTCAGTCCACATTCCAGGCGACCACACGTCTCTTCCTCTGCCAGCTTCCAGACTCACCCCTAACCTTGTACTAACCTGCTCGGTGAACTCGGTAAAGCCAGGCCTCTGTCAGGAAGGGCAGAGGGACAGGGCTCACCCCCGTCTCCGCGAGGACACTTGACGCCACAGCAGCTTCCAACACCGCCATTGGAACCCGGTGTTGACCCTGGGCTCGAGATTTGCTCCGATTTTATTTATATGTGTGAACTCTCTGGTTTATTTTGGGATTTTATGTTGTTGGCATTGTTGACATTTTTGGGGGGGCCTGTGTGATTATATATTTGACATTTTAAATTTCAAAGAAAGGTATATTGTCTAACAGGGGACCAATATAAAGCAGTAGTGACACCTTTTCCCAGTACTACTAAAAAAAACTAAATTATTGAAAATTTTTTAAATGTCAATATTTCATCTTTTTTTAACATTAGCTCAGAGTGTCACAGGTATGACTACCACATCTTCTGCCACCCTCAGTTCTCTGGGAGTTGGTCAGTATTAGATGAATTTGCTCTTTTCAAAGACCTGGGTGCAGGGGTTAGAGGTGGTCGGGTTTGGACCACCCACCCGAGCTGCTGTCTCAGCAGGTGTCTGTCTCACAGGTAGGGGTGAGGCTGGGAGACACTGAGCAGGAGCTTCTGTAATTATTTTGGTGTTAGCTCAGCGCGGGGCATTCAGGACTTCTCAGCCAGCCGGAGAGACAGGAAGCCACCACCCTGGCCACCTTCTGGTTTTCTGCTGCCCCTGAGGCTTCAAGCCCCACCTGCATCTTGGCCACCTTCCTCCTCCTGCCCCTCCATGCACCGGGTGGCAGGAGGCGGGCTTGTCCCTGGACACAGGTGATGTGCATATAAAAGGGAACTGGCTTCCGCTGGTGGTGAGAACGGAGCACGGACCTGAGGACCAGGGAGGTCCACAGGTTTACTTTAAAATGTACAGATTCTTCTCATTAAGGTCATGATAGAGTTTTTTTATTATTAAAAGTCAGTTTATAATACAAAGATCCTGAGTCGTGGTGGGTTCCTTTGGGGTTGACCCTGGTGGTTGGCGCCGCGGCGTGAGCATAATGGCCGGTGAACTGGAGCTTTGAGGATCGCCCAGTGGAGGCTTCTGGTTTCTAGTCAGGGGTGAAACCACTCTGAGCTCTGAGTGGGCACAGGACGGTCTTCCCTTGCAGGAGGGATGGTGAGGCCTCCTGAGATCACGTGGGGGTCTGCACTCGGGTGCACCATGAAAAGGGTGGCCTCACTGCCTTGACCTTGATTTTGGATTCTATTAGTACTGCCCATTTGACCCCCATGTCGGAAAGATGTACCCTTGGCATTCCCCACCCTGCCCTGGGTGTCAAGTCAGGGTTTGGGGTCTTAGCTGTGCTCAGGGGTTCGTGATGGACTCAAGGACCTTCTCTGAGCCTGTCTTCCGCCCCTACTTGCCCTGCAGGGCCCCTTGGAGCTGGGATTTGGGTTGGAGACTTAAAAACGTGTGACACAGGTTGGGCTGGCTCAGAACCCAAGTTGGCTGCACACGGACCAATCCAAGCAGACGCCGGTGCAACGCCTGTCCCTGTCTAGTTCGTAGGCCACGAGCGGGTTCCCCCCTGTCCTGTCCGAGCCCCTTGAGGAAGCTGTCAGGGTCCAGCCTCGGCCACAGAAACCTGTGCCTGCTCCCTCCACCCCTTCCTTCTCACCTCCCTCTTTCTGCTCCTCCATCCCTACAAGCAGAGTTGATCCCTCTGTCCCTCTGCCCCTCCCTTTTGGATCCTGCTTCCCTTTGGACGGCGGTGGTGGGAAGTTGTGACCCAGGCATCCCCGCTGCCCCCAACACACCTCTTCCCTCCACGCCTCCCTCCCCTTGTTCTGCCTCCTTCCCTTCCCCACACTTCCTCACACTTTGGAAACACCAAGGTCTCTTTTGGGGTGACCCCTGAAGGGCTCCCACAGGTCACGGCCACCCTGGGTCCCGCTGAGCCATGCTGCCCCACCCGCCCCTTCTCTGTCACCTCCTTTCTCTCCACACTCACCTGCCCCCGCCGCGTTCTCTCAAGGCCCAGACGGGGTCCACTGCTGTGAGGCTGCCCGTGTCCTTCAAGCCCTGGGTTCAGGGGTCTGGAGCCCCCTGAGCCTCAGTTTCTTCCAGTGGAACGGACTTGGATCTGGTCTCTTAGTTTGGTTTGTCAGGAGCTGCTCCGGAAAGCGGAGGTGGGGCGAGGGGTATGGCTGCTTTATGGTTGATCTAAATCTAACTGTTTATGTATTTATCCTCTTTTCCCCCTCATCCTCCCCTGTCTCCCGTATGAGCACCCCGAAAGCAGGAGCCTTGTTCATCCTGTCTGCTGTGTCTCCCACGTCCAGCCTGTGCTGGCCGCCAGCAAACCATGGCTTAATAATGGAAAGATCCTAGTGAGCAGAGGTGGGACCACACCTGCCTGCCTCCAGAGCTCTCGCACGCTTTGGGCTGAATTGTTCAGGGCTGCGACCTTTCCAGGCAGACGCCCTCTCAGGTCCCCCGGACCTGGCAGGACCTGTAGGGCTGAGTGTCTACCTCTCTGGGAGCCGCCATCTGTCCCAGAGCCTCAGTTTCCTACTCTGGGATATGAGGACAGTTACATGCACCTGGCCTGTTGCTGGGGGGCGGACAGCCCCTGGGGTCCCCCAGTTTAACTTTCAGGGGACAATGTGGTGACCTGTGTGTCCAGCAGGTGGCGCCAGGGACCGCATGGTACCCAGAAGCTGTGGCTCTAGTCCGGCTGGTGCCTGCCTACCGGCTCCCCACCCCAGGCCGGCCCGGGGAGCCCATATTTGGGACTGAGGCAGCCTGGAGGCAGGGGTGGGACTGTCTGGGTGATGGAGGCTGGTCTCTGCCCTTCTGGGGTCATCTGGTGTGCGTATCTTCAGCCTGATTTGGCACGGATATCTTCCATTCCTCTCTGTCTCTCTGGGTCTCTCTATCTCTGTGTCGTTCTCTGTCTCTCACAGATGTTTATCTCGCCCCTCCATTTTCTTTCTGCATAGCTACTCTGCTTTTTCTTTGCCCCATAGCCTATGTGTATGGGCTCGATTCTGTTTTTATATACGCTTGTGCATTTCCTTCTCTCCTTGTCTTTCCCCCTTGAAACCGGACGTTTGAGAGGGATGGAAAAGACCATTATACACTGTCAAGCATGGGGCTCCTCATGGCTGTGACCAGGAGCCACCAGGAGCCCACAATTTCTGTGCGCCTCGGCCCGCGTGGAAGGGGTGACCACCAGGTAGCGCTGTGGACCTGGCTGTGGGGCTGAGCCCCGGGCCTCCCGGTGTTGTAAGTCTCCAGAACTTTGGGGCTGCGCTGGGAGGTGAGGCTGAGCGCCTGGCGGCATGGGCCTCCCTGGGCACTGGGAACACCCCTGGGGAGGTCGAGGGGGGCAGTGGTCAGTCAGGAGAGGACTTTAGAAATGCGCCTGACCGGGCAGCTGATCCCAATTTAGAGTCTCGTGAGATGACGCGCTTCAGAACCACAGGTGTGGCGCGTTTAGGATCTACCGGCTTGTTGCTGGGCGGCTCCATGGCCCCATTTTACAGAGGAGGAAACGGGCTCCGGTAATTTAAGTGACTTTCCCCATGGCTGTGAAACTCAGAAATACTGGTCCCTGGTGCGCGTCTGGGGCTGTGCTGGCGGCATGACTTGCAGCAAGTGGGAAAAGCAGGATCATTGGATTTCATGGGGTCTCCACCAGGTGCACCCTGGGAAAGTCAGGCTTTGACTCGGGCCTGGAGAAGTGGGGGTGGGGGTGGGGACCTGGCGAAGAGGTCACCCTACAAACCTGAGGACCACAGGCAGTCATGGGATAATAGAGGGGTGCCTGGGGTGCTGCCTCGGGGCCTTTGGAGGTTGTTTCATGGCCTGGAGCAATCTTCCCCAGAGGGCCTCATTATATTCAGGTCTGCTCAAAGGTCCCCACATCCACCACTCACTCCTGTCACCTCCCTCCCCAGCTCTCCCTTGCATTTACCACCAGCTGACAGAATCCCGTGTTCATTGTCTTTCTCTGCCAACCCGAGTTAGTTCCACGAGGGCAGAGGTTCTTGTCTGTCTCATTCGCTTGTGACCCCCAGATCACCAGAGGGTTGGTGGGAAGGGCCCTGACAGTCTCCCCTCTGGATATGGAGGCTAAACTGATGGGGTGGGGGTGGGGAGCTAAGGAGTGACAGGTCTGCGCCCTCCAGGTGTCCTGAATGACGTACCTGTTGCCAATATTTGTTGTAGGAGCTGAATCAATACCTGTTGACGTTAGTGGAGGGGATCCATGCGTGAGTGGCCCTGGCAGGGAGGACAGCTCCTACCTGCTGATGAGGATCCTGGCCACTATCCTCACTAGTTCTCACCGTGACCGTGAGAGGAAGCCACCATTATTAGTTCCTTTTTGTAGATGAGTAAACAGAGCCATGGCAGCTGGAGGTCACGTAGCTGTGGGGTTTGAACCCCAGGCATCTGACCACAACATCCCAGTTGTTTCAACACCAGCATGACCTCCGGGATGAGCCCAACAGCCAGAGGGGATCTGGACTTCCAAGTCTTACCTCTCATGCCCTGCCTTGATTGGCTCACCGCCCTTCAGCTTCTAGGAACTTCTTTGTGTTTCTCAAGCTCTCCAACTTCATTTCTTGTTTCTACTTGGCATCTTTGCACTTGCTGTTTTCTCTGCTTGAGTGTCACCTCCTCCGAGAGGCCTTCCCGATTGAGTAAAGATAGTGCTGTTATAGAGCAACCCCGATATTAAACGGGTTCCTGGCTGTGGGTCCTCACCCGCGCGCTTTAAAGGGACTTATGAAAACTCTACTACAGACACACACAAAAGGGTTAATAAAAGGTTTATTTACAAGAGAAAAAGAAATAAGGAAAATGTACAACTCAGGGAGAAAATAGGGAAATAAAGTCTTTAATGCGTCCTACCCGATCCGCCGACCTGGACACCCAAAGTCACTGTCAGAGCTGGCCGGACGCTGCGAGCTGGTGGAGAGCCAAAATGGGGGATCCCCAAAGCCCACGTGTCTGCCTTTTGTATCCACCTGGCTGCTTAACCCCACCCTCAGGTCCCAGCCACCTTCCCTTTGGTGGTGATGGGATTTGGAGTTCCCAGTGTCTTTGGCTTTGACCTGGGGTGGGGGTGGAGTCCACAAAGCCTATATGCAATTTGCTTTGGGACATCCTTTTCCCCCTAACAGTGCCACCTACTGAATCTAACCCAGCAGGCTGTTTCCTTCTCCCACGGCACAGGTCCAGTCTTTATTGAATTTACTTTGCCTTTTTTTTTAAAAAGATTTATTTTCATTTATTCGTGCATACAAGAACTGGGGTATAGGTGAGGGTTGCCGGGGGAGGGGGTGAGAGGATTCACCAGAGACAGAGTGGGGAGCAGAACAGGCAGATCTACTGAAACACTGCTGAGGGGGGCAGCGGGTGAGACAAGAGGTCTGCTGTGCCCTCTGGGTCAATTCCTTGGCCGGGGATCGAACTTACGCCAGCGATAGCTTGATAATGCTGAAACTTTAACCCCTGCGCCACCAGGGAGGCCCTTTACTTTGCTTTTGTTAACTCACATGTTGTGGGTCTGCTTCAATCAGATGGCAGGTTTGGGCAGGAGCCAAATCCACCTTGTGCCTCACACACGGTGGTGGGTGCAGGGCCTTTCCTCGATCAGTTCTGGTTGACTTGGTGGGATGACTCAGCGAGTGAGTGGCCATGGCAGGGAGGATTCTAGTTGTGAAATGAGTGCCCCCTCATGCAAGGGGTTTAATCTTTAAGTTTTAGAAAGTCCGCACGTGTCCCCCTGCCTTTTCTGGAAGTGGCAGTGCCAGATCTACCAACCTCTCTTGAAATCTGTCTGGTTTTTCTGTTCTCATGGGCAATTCATGGCTGAGTGCCACCCACCCGGGAAGCCAGGATGGAGCAGAATGTCCCCAAGAGAGTGTTCTTCCATCTGGCTGGGTCTGAGTCACTGGCTGCTGGGTCTGATC